ATTGATGATATTTGGCTGTAAACCTGTTGATATTCGGCAATGCCCCCCCCCCCCAGCCCACCTAGTCCGAATTCCAATGATTGCAAAAGTAATAGACACAAATAAATGAGAGGGGGTATCAACTGTTCTTTGTGGTATTTAAGAAATTGGGAGCTTACCCAATCGTTTGGTGACGTCATTTTGCCTGTTGCGTGTTCTGGCATCAGTTTCCTTGATGGCTCTCCATGCATCAGCTCGGAGACGTTCACCATGTGCTCGTTCTTTATTCGACAGATTATAGTGAGTATTGTTAGAATATCCCCAATCTCCATCTGAATATCTGTTATACACCGATTTACTGAAATAAACACAAAGTTATAAATTTTTAAATCACCGAAATTAGGGATACTTTCAGAATGTTTCGTTATACGAAAATTCACTTGGTACAACGGTTAGCATTTTAAATCACCGAAATTTAGAATCATTTTATTTGGTTTATTAGGGATCGTTTCAGAATATTTGCTATGCGCCGAAATTAGGGACCCTTTCATAGTTTTTGTTTTTCATTTTTTAATGGGGAAAACAGTGCTATAGAGTTTAAATCACCAATGCTAAAAATGTTAAATCACTGAAATTTGGGATCATTTTAGAATGTTTATTACAGTCGAATACACAAAGTGTAATGATATTTAAAACACCAAAATTGGGGATAGTTTCAGAATGTTTGTTAATTGAAAATAAACAATATATACCATTGTTGAAAACACCCAAATTAGGGATTATATTAGAATGTGATTAACTATATATCTAAGACGCAGACATCGTGAAACAAATGAAATATAATTAAATCTTCTTCCGAATCAAAGGGGTTGGGTCATTTCAGAATCTTGATCATTGAATTAATATAAGAATAGAACTTACGATGCTGGGTTGTAGTACGCCTTGGAATGACCTAGATCTAGAGATCTGTTAAGATGGCGTACTGGTGTTCTATCACTGACCAATGGTATCATCTTCGACATCTCAGGAGTCATGGAACCTCGAGCAGATAGTGAACCGTAATAAGCCATTTCTAGAAATCACAATAAAGAAAACTATAATATGTAACTATGATATTAGCATCCCGATAGAACAAACTGTCAGATGAATCTTTGTAGGCCATTTATAGAAAATAAAAATATCCTATAGCTCGATGCTGTATTGATCACATACATAGCATCCAATTGACTGTATTAACTACCAATATTAAAGATACATTATGGGAGATAAGATAAAGAGATGGCAGTTCTCGCTATAATAGTTAAAAACTAGGTAGTGTAAAGGTAATTTGCTGAAAATTTCAATCAAATTGATCCTCTATGAGCCGAGAAAGAAGCGGGTGAAATTTTTGCATAGTTTCGGTCATCATTACTAAAATCATTAATATAAACAGCATAGTCTCGATTATCCACTTTTTAAATTTAATTATCAATGGCCGTTAGCGGCATATAGGAATCTAATCCAGCCAACATCGAAGGCTAGCCTTGACATCGAGAGTTTATTATGGTCCGGATAAGTTAATTAATGTCTAATTGATAATTTAGATAACATTTCAGGCCTAAAGAAAGACTTGTAATAAGCAGATTTTGCTCTTGCGTAATGCATGTTTAAAGTTTCATTATGTAAAATGTAGTTCTATCTATGGTAGTTTACACATTGATAATGAAAAACAAATATTATATTGACAATTTCAGTCAAATTACGTTATTTTGAGCGAAGTTATCAGTGTTTGAAGTTTTGATAAAAAATAGCGTAGTGTGGATTGTCATTGCTACGATTGTTTCGATAATAAATAAAGTTTCGATTATCTTTTTTTAAATTAAATTATCAAATAGCGATAGTTTTTCAATTCATTAAAAATCACGACCACCCGATAATCTAGAGAGTCTATCATTGGACTTTGTTTATGAATAAATGTCTCATTTATAATTTAAGTAGCTAAGTCTCTAACTCAATATCATCCAAAATCTTCAACATTGAAAACACGATTTATTTGTCAAATTAAATCAACATTCATGTTGTGATCTTACCGGAAAAATATGGGCTTTTGAATGATATCCAATATTTAAGACAAAATAGACATTTTACCATTGGTACACGAATCGTGTACCATAATGCGCTTCAGCCCCAGTTGTATCAAGAGACTCGAGGGACGAGGCTAGACACATTGCACCAAATCAAACGGCGTATGTAGACTGGAATAACCAGACGCTAGAAATGTGCACTCGCTTGAGACTGCTGGCTTATTTCGCCGAACATAACTGATTTGAAATCGGAGTAAAAACGGAAACCATTGAATGTAAATCAGTTTGTATACATTCATAATACAGTATTATATGCGTTGCGACCCACTTTTGTCAATTTCTAGGTCCCAAATGTTAGCGATTTAGCTCCTTTAAATAGTACTTAAGGCCAACAGAAAGACCCGCAATAGGCAGATTTAGCTTTTACATAATGTATGTTAAGTATGTAAGACGACCAAAGATTGTTAAGTTAATACACAATGCCATTTAGAAACCATTTCGCAAAAATTAAAATAAAAAAACCGATCGTATTGAGATTTCTTAGCTTAGTTTATAAAATATGTCCACAAAAAGAACATAAGTGACAAATCCCAAATGACCTTACAATTAAGTGAATTAGCAGATTACTTCATATTGGTTTACGATAATCACATTCAATATTAACAGACACAGTGGACTAAAGCTCTACTTCTATAACATGATGTAACTTAATGATATGGGATAACTAAATAAATAATTTATTTATTTAACCATGTTAATCTAACTTAATGTTAATGATGTCCAGTATTAAATCCTATTATTAGTATATATATTTCCCAGTGATTGTTATTTATATATAGATCTGATGTATAGGAAGAACTTATAAGTCAAGGCTCCACAGAATAAATAGTTATTTCATAGACCCATGGAGTTATTACAATATATTGACAGATTTGAACGCCCGTGTAGTACGGATGCGGGGTGGGGGGTACAAATGTGTTTAACGTGTGCGCTATGGGTCATACGGTCTGGCATTGAGTCTAGTGCTGCTGTTGCGATCGTTACTGAATGCAATTGACTAAACATACAAGCATTAAGTCTTGAAAATGAAATGAAAAACAAAAGTAGAATAATAAATTGAAAGTAGAATATTAAATTGAAAGTAGCTATAACTTACTTGGTATATAATAAACTTTCGTTGCAAGTCGGTGCTACAAGCTGACTGATTGTTAGTATACTAGACGTTACAACTGATGTGATTTGGTCTGGTTTCCTAACTACTTTTATAGGGAGTCGAGTGAACGCCATGACAACATTAATACCCGTATTAAGATTCGACCCGCTTCATTACTTGTTCACGTAACTTAACCTACTCCAACCTTTGATTGCAAATGGATAATCTACTTACAGGTACTTGTAAAATAAGTATATCGTGAACACTATCTAAAATAATATTTCCAACAACAAAATATACCAAATGATACCTGGAAATATTTATATATTAATTCGATATCCAATTTATGATTTTGTTATACCATGTATAGTTTATACTTGGCCTGTTCTGGTACGGTTAATGCATGTAGAAAATTACAATTCCGGAACAAACATGTTTATTTTTGTAATTAATTGATATTGTTTCACAAAGAATTGCAGAATTTCTCTCAGATTGCAGGAGATTGCAGGAATGTCAAATAAAACAACGCTTCCGCTCCAGACCCCCCCCCCCCCTCTCTGCAAAGGTCTCTCGCATTTAACAGTCATGTTTGGGGATAACAAGACTTCCGTATGATTCAAAGTTATAAATTTTCGATAACGAAAACGTTTCTTCTCTAGATTCTTCTGCCAGCTAAAGTGTCACTACTTCGATTAAAGATGTCTTTTAACGATAATAATTAAAAAATAAACTGGGTTTTAACCGGGCTATGGAAGATGGGAATACAAGATGCAGTGTACTGTGAGGGAAAGTTTGTTATGGCAGCAGCGCGCTCCTCTATACTCTTTGTCGAATTGCTCTGTAGATAGGAGGTCCCGTGTTCGATCCCATGGATTCCTCTTGTCGGTGTTGCGGGACGCGGGGGGGGGGGGGGGGCTGACAAGGTCAAAAAGTATCTAGCCCTACGAATGGGGCACAGTGGTGTACAGGTTGGCAGACTCCCGAGAGCTTGAATTCTTTGAAGAGTTAAATGAATGAAACAGGGTTTTACGCTGGGTTAATGAAGAAGGTCTACGCATAGTGGACGGAAACGCCACTGTGGGACCAAAATACCACCATAGCACACTGCGTATGTCCGTTTTCATTAGGACTATATGGGGAGTTCGATAGCTCAGTGAGTAAGACGTTGGCTCGCTAACCTGGATGTCCTATGTAAGATCCATATGTTGACCGAGAAAGTTAATCAGGATTTCCCGGCGTTGTCCCCCCTTGTCAGTCGTGTATTACGGCGGGCCTGACAAGGGACAACGTCAGCCATTCGGGTAGAACGATAAAACCGAGGTCCAGTGTCAACATCGGCATGCAGTAAAAGAACCCGTGGCAGTTGGAATTCGATATAGGAGTAGGTCGTAGCGCCGTTGTCCGGGAAAAACTGTATGCCGTATATGCCTCTCATTATGGTGTAGTAAAAGTACATTTCATTTGATTTCATTAGGACTATTTGCCACCATTAATTACTAATTCTAAACTCAAGATAATAAAACTCAAGTCCTATAATTATATACAGTACAGGTGTTTAATAATTACTAATTCTACACAAGATCAATAATGTACCTTGCTACACATCGGCAATACTATATACCCGAAAACACCGGAAACACAGGAAAACACCGGAAAACAACCGGAAAACAAACGGAAAACACCATTTTATACTGAATACCGGTGTTTTCCGGTTGTTTTCCGGTGTTTTCCGGTATATAGTATAGCCCCTACACATATTGTACGATCGTTAATTTTATCAAAATTAGATTACTATAACAGTCTTCTTACTGGCATTTCATCTGAATTATTACAAAAAGTACAGAAGATACAAAGTTCTGCAGCCCGATTAGTTTCCTAATCACCAAAACGTTCTGGTATATCTCCAGTACTATATTCTCTGCATTGGCTGCGCATAAGTGAAAGGATAGAATTCAAATTTTAACAGTTGTGTATCAGTGCCTTCATGGAAATGCTCCTTCATATTTAAAGGAAATTGTTAATCCCTACCAGTCAATACGACCTCTGCGATCCCAATCTCAACATTACATTACAGTATCAAAGCGGAAACTGAAAAAAATTGATTTTAAATTATTTGAAATTTCAGCCCTCCCGTTAGCTTTAAAATCTGCTCCAACATTTTCAATATTTAAATCAAAGACATTCCTGTTTTCTAAATATTAAAAAAAACCCCTCTAAAGTAACTTAGAATTGCCTTTGTGTGCGCTTTAAGCAGACCCTATTGTTTGGAGTTTAGCGCGGTATAAGAATCCTATTATATCTTTTGTTTTAGCCTGATCGTCTAGATTTGTCGGGGATCACGTGGCTAAGTGGGTAAGACGCTAGCTCGCTAGCCTGGAGGTCGGGTGTTCGATCCCTGCATTGGCCGAGAAAGTTCATCCAGATTTTCCGGCGTGGTTCTCCCTTGTCAGTGATGCAGGACGGAGGGGCTGACAAGGAAAGCTGTCTAGTCGTTCGGATGGGACGAAAAACCGAGGTCCCGTGTACACATTGGCGTGCACGTAAAAGATCCCTTGGCAGTTGGAATTCGATATAAGAGTAGGCGAAGGGCCGCTGCCCAGGCAAAATTTCCCTCATAGCACACTGTATGGCGTATGCCTGTCTTCATTAGCCCAGGTTAGGAGCAGAACAGTAGGACGTTAAACTCCATTTCATTTCATTTCATTTCTAGATTTGTCTAGCATGGGCTCTGTTTTAGCCTGATCGTCTAGATTTGTCTAGCATGGGCTCTGTTTTAGCCTGATCGTCTAGATTTGTCTAGCATGGGCTCTGTTTTAGCCTGATCGTCTAGATTTGTCTAGCATGGGCTCTGTTTTAGCCTGATCGTCTAGATTTGTCTAGCATGGGCTCTGTTTTAGCCTGATCGTCTAGATTTGTCTAGCATGGGCTTTGTTTTAACTCCATACTCTAGGACTTTTCATGATTTGTTTGATTAATGACGACTACCCAGATCAGATATTCTGCCAGAGTGATCGGTCTAAACTTTCTTTGAAAATAGGTGTTTATGTTAAAACAGGTGACAACAGTTTACACAACATACGATTTTATATCGAAGCAGGTTACACATTTTAAGCAGTTACATATTATTAAAACAATAGTCTACATCAACGGTTCTCAACCTCTTTTGCCAACGGCACACGTTGGAACACATGAAAAAATAAATATGAAAAATATTTGTATTTTGCAAAATAAAAACATGGTAATTCAGCCGGAATACAACCGTAGACAGAGGCTAGTCATAGACATATAGAATAACTCAAACCAAATAAAGAAAAGCACAGCTAAGGAACTTATCAGTAGACACCAGTGAATAATACTCAATTGGGATCGCGTGTCTTTTCACATTTTCTTAGTGTGCCGTTCAAAATTTCGCGGCACACATAGGAAGATCGCGCGGCACACTGGTGTACAGTGTGCCGCCGCGGCACAATAGTTGAGAATCACTGGTCTACATTATATTTAAAAATTACATGTCTTTCATTCTCTCCACTCCATTCCTGCACAAGCCAGCGTGTCTAGATTTCTGAAAAACACTACATGATTGGTTCTTTCAGAATTCAAATGATCGTCCAATTTGTTGAACCCAAGGCACGCCTTTTATATTCCCTGATTTCTCGGATTGATTATTGGATTGGTTAATTACGCATAATGACGTAAGAAGTAGCCAAATATGTACATTGGCCCTGAGAGAATATCTGGTAAATCACAATAACACTATACATATACTGAGCGCCATGGAAAACGCATCACTTTTTTTCCCAATTATTTTATTACTAGGTGGTTTTGTATGTATAATATTATTGAATATTATGAACTATTGTTTCACACAATGCTCCCAAACGCAAAAAATATCGGTCCGTGTACACAAAAAAAAAATTGCACGAGATGCACATGAAAAACCCAATATTCACGTGCAGCATTGTGTTTGAGCCCTTTAAAAGCATGTTTTCAACTTAATGTGCAGTACATGATCTGTGAAACGTCAATCTGCCGTAATTTGTTGTTGGACGTGTGAAGGAATCGAGCTAGAGATGCCGAGATTTACTGAAAATCAACGGTATGAAGCCATGGGAATGTCCAGGGCTGGCATGTCTACACGTGCTATTACCAGACACTTCAATTCTCATCAGTCCACTATTGTAAGGTTGGTGGAACGTGTTCGAGTTACTGGATCAACACGTGACCGTCAACGTCCTGGTCCACAACGCGTTACAACCCAGGCTCAAGACCGCTACATCTGGGTCACTCATCTGCGTGACAGATTCCGCCCAGCGACTCGAACAGGTGCAGCACTCGTCGGAAGACAAGGACCAGTAAGTGCCAACACCGTAAGACGTCGTCTAAGAGACGTAGGACTCCGTGCACGACGACCTTATGTTGGAGCTATCCTCAGGGATCATCACCGTCAGCGGCGTTTGATATGGGCTCAAAGACACCAGACATGGAGAAGAGTAGACTGGCAAAGTGTGCTCTTCAGTGATGAGAGTTGCTTTCATCTTTATCACGCTGATGGCCGTCAATGTGTGTGGAGGTGTCTTGGGGAACGTCTTGCAGACTGCTGCGTCTTCGAAACGAATCGATGGGGTGGGGGAAGTGTAATGGTGTGGGGAGGCTTCACATTTCATCACCAGACCGCCCTACACATTAGCAGGGGTCACTTTAATGCTGTAGCCTACCGTGATGATGTCTTGCAACCAATTGTTATTCCGATGTTTCGAGCGCACCCACAACTTCAGCACTTCCAACAGGATAATGCACGTCCGCATACCGCCCGTTTTAGTATGGACTACCTGGCTGCTAACAACATCAATGTCTTGGACTGGCCAGCCATGTCTCCGGACATGGCACCGAGAGAACATGTCTGGGATGAGATTGGACGTCGTCTGTATAGTATCGGAGACCACAGATGCACACCATTGCTGCTTTAGAAGCTGCTCTTGTCCAAGAATGGAACAATTTGCCCCAGGCCTTCTTTCAAACATTGGTAAATTCCATGCGACGTCGCTGCACAGCGTGCTTAAGAGCCCGTGGAGGACACACGCGCTACTGACATCTGTGTCGTACTTTTGGTTTTGACCCCTCTGACTTTGTACCGTTGATTACAAATTAAACATCCATAAGTGTACAAATGTGTTGTTATTGATGTGTTCCCATTTGAATATTGTTCACAATAAGAAACAAAATAAATAAGATATGTTTACAGGATCATTTTGTTATACGAAAAACTAAGTGATGCGTTTTCCATGGCGCTCAGTATATAAACAAATTGGCCTGGAGTCACAGATCTCATGTCCTGTTATTCTCAAATTATTGAACACAAATTAATTACGTTTACTAAAAAAAACCAAAAAAAAAACAACCTACTTTTATGAATTTGGAACCAATAATATTAGATCGGGGCTATAACATTCCAGTTTTTATTACCTAATACTAAGATCAAATACAGCAACTTTTTTAACAACTATCCTAGTCTTTCAGGGAGTAGAGTGCTGTCTCACTAATTAAACGGTGCGGGTTCGATTCCATTGTTGGCCAAGAAAATGAAATTGCCTCGGGATTTTCCAGTGTGGTTTCCTCTGGAACAGACTGGGGGCCATGACAACGCACACCGTCTAGTCCTTCCAATGGAATAAAAACCGCGATCCCGTATACATGTTGGCATGTACGTAACCATTAGCAGGAATGCGACGGAGAGTGGACAAAATCATTATACACATGGGTAAGATTAGAGTTATTAACTGAAACACCATCCAAGAAGAACTCGTTTCGACCGACGCTCCATTTTTTTCCTGTAGTGTCGATTCTCTTCTTTTAAATTGGTCTCGGTAACTGTAGATAGGTTGTTTTTTGCAGGTTAGTACGAGTATTACCCGATTACGGAAACTCTTGCTACATACGACGTACAAGAAGAAGTTGATAGAGTAATTCAGCTGTTCCAAGATCTGAGCAATTTCTCTGAAGATGACCATCCCAGGTTGCGTAGCCTCAAAGATGGCCAGTCCTTGAAGGTAAAAGACAATATGTGCAATGCCTATAGAGGCTACAAGAACCACATATGCAATCGAAACACTGAGAAACATGGCGGTCGTTTTCCTGACTTCTTCGCTGACTCTTTGATTACCGGAGCTGATAATCGGCTGTAATTTAACACGCTGGAATAACTTGTAACAAGTGAGGGGCGTAAATATCATCATAAAACAAATGGGTATAATAGAATATATCATTGTTCCTACGATGACGAATATCCTTGCCAAATAGGCCGGTCCGGGTAATGGGGAATGCAGTCTCCGTTCGCTAACTTTGGTGCAAATGTCCACGCACCGTTATAAATGAATAAGAATGCGTAAACTAGCATCAGTCCTATGTAGGCGTTCCGCTTTGTGCAGATGAATTTAATTTTCAAAGGAAACCAGACAGCTACAAATTTCTCCAAACACAAGAAGACCACGAACCAGGAGGATGTCATTTTGGCGGAACGGAACATAAAGAAAAAAAGCTTACATCCTGCAGAGGACAAAGCTCTGATATCAACTCCAAGAATTTCCCTTACAAAACCTTTATTGAATGGTAGCATAATGATCAGTGTGGTATCGGACAAGGCCAAAGCTACAAGGATGACACTAAAGGACATTTTCCGGAACTGCTGACTCAGCATTACAATGATAGTTAGTGTGTTACCGCTTAAACCTATCACAAGGAAAACTGGAATTGCTAGGTAACCAATATTTTGAATTTGGAAACCGATCTTCTCCGTGGTCTCAAAATCCACCGCTTCATTGGTTGTGGAAAAACTGGATTCATTTCCGAATTTGGCGCATCTATGGGTGGTATTTATGAACACACCACCCCCTGTGGAGTAGATTGGTACGATTGTAGTTTCTGAACTGCTGTCAGTGTCAGTCGCATGGTTTACTTGGGAAAAACCCACCAATATGGAAAAGACTAGTATTGCACTTGGGAACCTACAAAATAAATATTTAAATAATAAAAGGTTATATCCTCGTCCAGACTACATATCTCTAGAATTAGATAGGTGTGTTTGTGTGTGTGTGTGGGGGGGGGGGGGACGTTAGATCATACGGATTGGCATTGGTGGTGTGACTTCGATTCCGAGCTTGTAGATTGGTTTTGCTAGATTAATCTGAAATTCTCAAACGTTATCCCCCATGTCATACAAACACATAAAAGAATCGATTCGTTTACAGCCGTTGAAAGCTTTTTTTAGTTGACAAAACTCATATCACGGAAACTCAAAGAAAAACAAATTTACTAGGATAATGGAGGAACGGGAACGTAAATTGGAAAGGTGGGGACTGCGATGTGAAGTGGGACATTGCATAATCAAAGCGGACAAATTTCAGCAACCTTGACATTGAACGAACCTTGAACTTTGCAACTCGATTATCACAACTAGACATTTCAGTTGGAAACGCGAGACTTGGTATTTGCGATGATATTTTCTATCGAGTAATCTGAGATGTCGGGAACACAGGCGCCTGTAACGTGGAAAATATTAAAAAAAAACATTAGGCCTAAGCTATATGACTAAGTGTTATGTCTAAAGTCGTACGTAACTAACGTACGGAAATTCTCTGCAGGTAGAGCGGGTCTGTCGTTCAGATTGGTCTAAAGTCTGTTAAGACCATGTGGTCCGAATCCGATTTGTAATTCAAGGGCAAATAACTCGCCTGAACACCGTATGCAAAATTAAGTATCATCTGACCTTGGGGTTTAACTTCCTACTTTTCTGCGCCAACCGGGCCATGGAAGACGGAACAGATAAGAAGGGAGGTATAAAAGACGCAATCGATTGTCCTCATCTTTTATTCTCAATACATGTATATCGATGCCTATATTATTATATATTTATAAATATTATTGTATTAAGCCATTAACCGTCTTCATTGGCCCAGTCGGAGCAGAACAGTGGGACGTTAAAACCCTCTATTATAATAGTCATCTTTCTTTCTTAATATATTATAATAGTGCACGATAACAGAAGATGGCGAAAGAATAAAAATTGTTACAGGCCGCCGAATGGACTGCCCTGTCTTCTAGAAAAGAATTTTGTTGCAGATTCGTTCATCAAACGGTAAGTTTATATGCTTAGGTATTATATCCATTTATTAGTTTACGCATTCACACTTTAATTATAAGCAATACATATCTTAAACCGGTTTCCTAAGTTTTAATTGATGTTAATATTTCTATTGCAGGTGGGGAAATGAAATGGAGTTTATCTTCCTATAGGCTCATGAAGACCTACCCTTGCCAAGATGCTGTGCAGGCGAAGAGAAAAGAGCGAAAAGTAAACGTGGAACTAGAAGACTGTACAACTACAAGTATACCACAGATAACTTTTTACTGGCCAATGATACATGTATTACATTCAGATTCGGATATTATTATAATATGTGAATCTTTTTAATTGGGCATAGTAGAATATGGACGTAAACAATGGTTTGTCACATTATCTCTGCCCATGTTGTATTATAAAATTAAGGAAATACAATAAATTTGTAAACAGTGTTTAAATTGTTTTTAAATTATGGCATGCTTTTATCATAAGAAATAATAAATGAGTTGAGACTATTCTAACCTCTTTTTAAAATGTTTGTTAATATTTCAGATAGTCTATCACAACAGAACATTCGGTGTCTGCTTAGAACGTCTGGTTCCCTCTGTGTGGGAAATTCTGAACGACCGGTATTCAAAATATGATCACCGAACACCTTTTAGTGTTCATTATCTGCTTCATGCAGTTGAACACCTTATTGTATTCTAAAAAGAACACGTTTTATGCGTCCGATGTGTGGAAAGATCAGGGGGGAAAAGTTGGACGTATAGTGTTCTCAAAACAGAACACATTTTACGCTTCAAAAGTGATCTAAAATCCAGAGGGAAACACATTTAAAACTGAACAAATATTGTTCTGAATGTAAACATATACAATGTAGTATTCTGATAGAATAAAGACGCGTCAGAGTGTTAAAAAGTGTTTCAAAATAGTGTTCTAAAATGGCTTATTTGGTGTTCTAAAAGTGGACGCCGGGTTTAGGGTGTATACGTAGAGCACCACTGTAAGGGGTAGCGTTAAAGGTGTGTTTGGGATGACAACTTGATCGAGGAAGATAATGATGGCAATCTGTTTTTTTGGAATATAGATTTGTCTCTAACTTTTCTTTTTCTTTGACAACTTTTACATCTAGGAAATTAACTGAGTTGCTATTTATATCTAGAGTAAATTTGATCTTTGGGTGTTGTTGGTTTAATTCTGAAACAAAATTATTACATTCTTCTAGTCGGAGAGAAGATATAGCCCAAATAAAATCGATGAATCTGCATGAAATATCTGGTTTATTAGCCAGTATGACATATAAATGTTAGCAGCATATGTCACAGCAAACGGAATTCCCATGGCAGTCCCCTACTCCTCGCAGTGTTTCGTTTGATTGGAGTAATCATTAGAGCTAATCCCACTACTCACTGCGGTAAAAAAAGTAAATTCTTGTTCTAAATTATGACTGGTCAATAGTCCGATTAACAATTAATAGCTAACTGTGTAACAATACCAAACAGAGCTCCAAATTGGACCAAATATGTTACATAACGTTACGTCATGACTCACAATTTTATTATGCCCAATTAACCAGTGCATAGCAGAATATTGCAGAAAAACTAATTGTGTGACAAACAAGGCTATCAACTATCAACACGGATATAATGTAAACAATATTGTTTTAAACGAACAACAGTTTCACCTTTTTTAATACCTTAAATCACTGTCCAAAGTTTTAGGGAAGGTCCCTGATTAAAAGAAGGGTTGTCATGTTGTTGTGCTTGGGGCTAGATTTGATTGAACGTCAAGAATAGACAAACGCCCTCAAAAGCCCAAGTATCAGAAGCTAATCCAGCAATGGCCGGAGAGGGATTTCTCGGGCCATTGCTTCAGGAATATGTGGCAGTCCCCGATATCTGTCTATAAAACATACCAGAAAATTCAAATTCATTGTTGTGAAGAACAAAATCTGCTATTTGTAGAATTGATTCTGAATCTTTATTAGTCACAATTTTAGTTTCACGTAATGCATGTTTCGGTGCTTCTAAACCTTTAGAAATAACAATATTCGAATATAAACTGATAACATCAAGAGTCATAAGCTTGCCATTCTTAGGAATATATTCGCTGTTTACATCTCAGCGACCTTAATAAATCCATTTAGCCAACGTTTTAACCACCGTTCAACCATGACTCCCTCTCTTGGCGCACTTGGCGGATCAAAGACAGAATATACTTAATAAACTATTACTTACATGACTTATCTTACTCCCAGGAACCAATTGGTAGTTTATATTTTTGATCATAGGTATTTATATACTCGTTGTTTATTGATTGGGGGAAGGGCTGTCTTAATTAGCGGCTTTTGTTCTTAAAAATCATATGTTTTCCCTTACTTGAAACATGAGATTACCTAGTCATCATCAGTCATATATTGCTTTATTGGCAGTTTTCTTAATAAACCCACCTCATAGTTGTTTACGCGATGGATAATTAAGCTAAAAAAGGGAAATACTCATGCCAAGTTCCCTATAACGACTCTATGTTATAGAGCCAAAAATCGCCGACCCTGGACATTTTTCCTATATACGGATATTATATGTTCTAGGCGCATTAGTCGCCTGTCCAACCCCGTGGGGTTTCTCCGGATCCACGGGTTTCTCCAACTGCTAAAGACCCCTACGCGTAAGCGAATTATTGAAATAAAATTGAACCATATGTTAGTCCCGAAGTGACCTAGTTTGTGTCGAGTGGACGTTAAACTAACTCTCTCTCTCTCTCTCTCTCTCTCTCTCTCTTTGCGATCAATTCGTTGGTCATTCTGAACAAAGCATGATTTCGGTAAATATTTGACACATGGATTCGGATTACAAATCGCACGAATCTTCCGAGTTCTGACCTGAAGCCGATTCGGAGATTCGCGAGAAATAACAGTTTATCATTACAGTAAGCCAAAAATGGCAGGTTAGTTACCGAAGTGACAAGTATGAAAAAAATTGGTCTACATTACGAGTGGTTAATTGTTTTATACGCCCCCCCCCCCCCCACGAGTAAAAGAGAAAAGGTGAGAAGTGAGATGGTGTAGTAATCGTAAACACGTGTTTTATTAGTTTTGGCCTTAACACGATTTTCAGCTCACTGATAATTCTTTTGAAGACGAAGAAATGGGAAGTGACGCAAAAAAATGGAAAACATGAGTTATTGCAGACTGAAGTATAAAGCGATAACAGATACAAGGTCGATTTTCAGTTCACTGATAATTCCTTTGAAGACGAAGAGTTGTTATATTAGACTGTAAGGATATCTTACATATTGCATCTTTCTTTAAAGGGGCATTTGGTAAGATTAGATACAGAGCTGACAGATCTCGCTATAATAGTTAAAAAAATAGATAATGAAAAGAGAAAATGCTGAAATTTCAGTCAAATTGCTTCACTCTGAACCGAGATATTAGCGACTCAGGCTAGCCCCGATCGCCATTACTATCTTTGGCACGATAATAAACAAACTCTCGATTATCCATTTTTACGGTTATTTCATCCATCACAAAACGTATTCAAATCCACTAAATATCGCAGGCTAACGATGGCAACGAGAGGGATTATGGTCTTGATAAGTTAATTAATTTCTAAACAATAATTCAGATAATATTTAAGGTCTAGAGAAAGACCTGTAATAGACAGATTTAGCTCTTGCATAATCTATGTTTACGTCTAGATTTAAATACGGCAATCTTTCCCGAACACTCTATCACAGCTGGTAAGTACGTCGACATTATGAAATGGCCGCAATAGGCTTCCATAGGTAAGACATTTCTAGTTATATTATACAACACTGGCTTTTTAAAAAATAATTTTATTCACATCATTTCATTTTAAAGCATACACTGCATTAAGCATGAATTAAACTAGTAACTTTGTGTGCCCCATTAAATATTTATATTTAACTAATTATATACAAGTGATTACCATATTAGTTAATTATTTATTATTCTACTACACTCAAGTTAATAATACACGACCTCAATACTTATATACAAGCGATTATTAATTAATTAATTAATTAATTATTCTATACACATAAAATAAATAACACAAATTAAATATATATTTACATAAAAATGATAGAAACAAAATAAAAAACTAGAATAAAGTCAAAGAAAATATTTCCTCGACTCTTTAAGACTTCTTAATTAAGTAATCTATAGGCATGGACTGATATTAAATACACTAATAAAATATATTTATATATTAAAAATGAAAAAAAAACTAAAACAAACTCGATTTCAGCCAAAGAAACAATTTCTTCAACAATTTAACACTTCTATTATTAATATTATAATTAAATAATCTAGAGACTTCAACTGAAACCTCGCAAAAACAGTTTCTAACATTAACATACAATATTTAAAATCAATAAATACAATTTTAATATACACAAGCAAATACCCCAATACACTCAATAGATGAACTAATCACGCAATTTATTAATTATTCACGCAATTATACTTCGCAATCGCACTCTTTAAAACAACAAATAAAAATTTAATCAAATCACGTTAATCCATTATGGAAATAATAATTTTGCATGACAATTTGTGACTCGTTGTTTTTGGAAATACAACAGGGTGCAGTTAATATAATTTAAAATTATATTTACTATTTAAAACGTCTAATAAATAAAACATTGAAAACAGATTAAGCATTTCTATAATTTAAAAGATTAATAAAAAAAAGTTCTTCAAAAATGCACACAAAAACGAAACTGGATAAATATAATATTAAAAACAAAATAAGGCATAATAAAAGATTATTAAAAATTGACCCAACAATTGGCAATTCACTGTTGTTAAATAATAAAAAACATTAAATTTATGAATAAATAACATAAAAAATAAAAATTAAAAATGTAATATACAAAAATTGGTAGGACCTTAGTCCCTGCCTAAATTCCCCATAAAAGAAATTCTTAGACAAATAGTCCATGCCGGAAAGGGAGATAACCATTAGATGAAATCAGAGTTATATCCCCTTTGCAACAAGGCTATGAAACACTAAAACTAGGACGACATTTTAATTCATTAGCATAATTGATGAACTTAATTCGAAGGATTTCCGTGTGGATGAATTGCAACATTATGGACCGCTTTCGATATTTAGTAACTTCCTGGAACCATCTGAAAGACTGGGCCGACTTTGGGATCCATAGGGAAGCCCTTTCGCATGCCCATACAATGCTGGGAGTCGAGTTTCAAGGAGTTTTCTTTGACACCAATGTCGTGTTCGAGGACAGCTTTGGTTTTCAATAAACGAGCTAAACTCAACTCAGATGCTTTTAGGCTTCTTTTCAACATCGTGATGGAATCACGGATTTCACCAACTTCATTCTTCAATCTGATTGAATAAAAAATAAAATGAATAGATTTTATTACGTAATATTTACAATGTAAATTCTCCAAATGTATTCCGATCACATATTAAAAAGTGTTGATTTTAGCGCCATGGAATCCCTTCACAACTACAATATTGTGAAAGATGAATATTAGCCCACTAGTTCAGTTAATTTCAGTCTATTCAAAGATACGACGAATTGAAATTTCCACCGATCTATGCTGCTCCCTGTGTGGCATATCTTTATAACCGGTGGACCAAATGAATGGACCTGATTTAAATCCTACTGAATCTAATTTTGGCGATTATCTAGCACCGCTGATAAAAGAAAAGCAAGTTGGACAACCTATAGGACCTTTGTCGACCAACATCATGGATCGAATCGAATATAAAACTGACAAGGGAACTAAAGTTATATTCTACAAAATGGTGCTCACAAAAATGTTCAATATTGTTAATATCAAATTGCTAACTTACGATTTCATGACGGGATCGTGACAAACTTCAACATTAATTCTTCTGGTTCGTTCATCAAGTCGAGTTTGGGCGACTTTCATTGGGTTTTCTTTGTCTTGTATAGCTTTTCGTAGTTGTTGAATATTTCTTTCCATGTCAAATATTTCTTGCACCGTCTGTAAGAAAATATAAAGGGTAGGGTTAATTTTCAATTCTTAAATGGATATCTGTTTTTGTTTAGTGAGATTTTATACCGAAAATTTGATTCTGCGATTATCAAGTGAATGAATAGCTTTAGAAAATGATGTCCTTAACCGCAGAACTCAGACAAGAATACCAAGATGGCCGAAATTTATAGCCCTTGCAAATCCTTGCAAACTACGTTATTGTGAACGTTCAATCTCTAAGATGAATATCGGCCCAAAAACGTTACTTTCAGTATTTACAAGGAATAATGTTCAGCATTCAGCATCCCAAACAGATGCTATAGACAAGGCAACGTCATTGTTGGGTAAAATCTTGTGATGGCCCTCCTTTTATGGGAGATTCGATAACGAGTTGGCAGTTCTCACTATAATAATTAAAAACTAGATAACGTAAAGGCAATTTGCTGAAAATTTAATTCAAATTGATCCACTATGAACCGAGAACTAAGCGAATAAAATTTCTGCCTAGCCTCGGTCATCATTACTTTAGTCAGTACGTTAAACAGCACAGTCTCGATTATCCATTTAATCGTTTAATCGAGAAGGAAAGTTATGCAGTAAATCGGCTCACAATCCACTTAAGATCGCAGGCTAGCGATGCCTTCTAGAGTTGATTATTGTCTGGATAGGTTAATTAATGTCTAATTAATAATTTAGATAACATTTCAGGCCTAAAGAATAACCTGCAATAGACAGATTTTGCTCTTGCATAATGTATGTTTAAGAAATGACTGTTTATTACTGAGCGATGTTTTGACATGGCTTCTCTAGTCATTATCAAACTTTGCTCAATAGTTTTATTCCACAGAACTGTGACCTACCATTGAAACAATGAATAAGCTTGGAAATAATGTTCCTTCTTAATTAAATGTTAAATAATCTATTCTGCTACTGACATTGTCTGATAAATGCACGATTGGGATCAGTTTTCTTTCAGTTTACATTCTTTAAGGTTGCAGGCCCCTTTTTCTTTCAGTTTACATTCTTTAAGGTTGCATGCCCTTTTACTGGCTAAGCGGTGAATATTGGATTTCCACCGACCTTTCATTCAAATTACAATTTTATTAACTTACTCTTTGTAAATGAGCTTGTAATGTATTTCTGGCGTTTGTAGTCTCGTGGATTCTCGTGTTGAAACAGGTATTCACGTTGTTATAAATATTCCACATCTCACTTGCGCATGTTCTCATCAAGGCATCGATTTCACCTCGAAGACGTTCAGAAGCAGCTCGTTCTTTCTGAGATCTGGCGATGTTTTCTTCACTATATCTGCCCCATGATTCGGGTATGGTGATTCTGTTGTAATTAAAAATAGTATATATAAACTTGGGCTATAGATGGAGAGAAGTTTGTAAAAAGACCTGTGATTGGTCTATTATATTTTGTAAAAAGATCTGTAATTTGTATTTTATATGATCGAATATTCCATTCCTAAAAGTTTCAAGAAGAAGCATGTCGTGTAAACAGGAGTCTATTTACCGCGACAGCAGACACTTTAATGGAATAAGAATTATAACAACAAATAGTTTAATGGAATAAGAATTATAACAACAAATAGTTTAATGGAATAAGAATTATAACAACAAATAGTTTAATGGAATAACAAATAGTTTAATGGAATAACAAATAGTTTAATGGAATAAGAATTATAACAACAAATAGGTTAATGGAATAAGTATTATAACAACGAATAGTTTAATCGAAAATGAATTATTACAACTTACGTATTATCAACATTTTCTATACTGGGGAAATATCCAATGCCACCTGATGAATTCCTCAATTGTTGCATTCTATCATCCAGTCCCTGTGCGTGGTGTTTATCTTTAGAGTCAACTTCCAAAGCATGCTGTGCAGCCCTGTCTACTCTGTAAGGAAAGGATGAAAGACTATCAGCCGGGGTGGTTGCACAACAGACATGGTGAAACCGTGAAAGTTTCTGCCAACACCGGGTTCGATTGGGGGACCATGCCTTCTCCCCCTCCAAGAAAACCCCATCGAATTTGGTAATTTTAATAAGATGGATTCAATATATCATCTGACCGACGGTAGGAACTACATTATGCAAGAGCTAAATCTGCCTATTGCAAGTCTTCTTTTTAGGCCTGAAATGTTATCTAAATTATTAATTAGACATTAATTAACTTATCCAGACCATAATCAACTCTCGATGTATTGGATTAGGAACCGATTTGCTGCTAAACTTTCATGCATGATTTAATAATGAAATGGATAATCGAGACTATGTTTGTTATCGTATCGACTTTAGTAATGATGATCGAGGCTAGGCCGAAAATTCAATCGCTAAAATCTCGGTTCAGGGTAGATTAATTTGACTGAAATTTTCAGCAAATTCTCTTTAAATTATCGAGGTTTTAAGTATTATAGTGAGAACTGTCAGTTCTTTATATAATCTCCCATAATGTATTTTTAAACCTAGAAAAACTGCAATGAAAATGTAATGAAATGAAATGGCGTTTAACGTCATACTGTTCATATTGCAATGAAACATTCCCTAAAGTAGAATTATACCATTTGTATCAAGCGGAGGTAATGTGGAAATTACCAGTTTTGGTCATATTTGAAGCAGTACTTACTTGAGTTGTGCCATGGCTTTTTGAAGACATTGTCTCATCTTGTTCTGACATTTCTTGATGATTTCAACTTCCTGTGTAAATATGTAAACATATAAGTAGATAAATACGTGTGGTTTAATGGTCGAGAGCGAGACATTAAGTAATATATTGATACTGCACGAGGCGTTAGCCGAGTGTTGTTTCAATATATTACGAAATGTCTTAAGCTCGAGACCATTAAACAACTTAAAATAAAGACACTTGCACGTGCTTTGCAATGAAATACGTCACCCGGGTTCAATATTTTAACTAGTTACACTTGGCACATTGCCCGTACGATTATTTGAAATAATGGTATGCCAACATCAAAGGATGACGTCACTTCTGTATTTTAAGTCGATATATCGGATAGATGGATATGTCGACAGTTTGGTTGATATCAAATGGTGTTTAGACATAAAATGTATCAAGTAATAGAGTCTGTGGAAATAAAAATGATCTTAATTTTTTTGAGAATAAAGAGTTTATTGAACAAGTTCAGTTACGCCCATTGACGTTAATTGCGATCACAAACCAATAGTGGACAAGGAGAAAGATGGGAACTCGAGCAGCGACTAGGGTATATGTATGGTGCTAGCACCACGGTGCAAAATTGTTGTTAAATCTGTAAAGCGAGGGTATATTTTTCAGGGAATAATGAAACTTTAAAATGAATTATTCCCCAATATAGATAAAATAACTATGCTTGTGATTCCAAAGTAGAATAAAATTATGACTTACCTTAATGAGGCTTTTTTCAACATCGTCGTTAACCAGGTCGATACCTCGTCTTTTTTCACGATGCATCAGACATTCTTCAGCTACTTGTAAAGGATTGGCTGTATCACCTAAAGCTTTCTCTAGTGTTCGACGATACTCCTGTAGAGAAATAAAAACAAAAGTCATTTCTTGTTTAAACATTGAACGTTTACATCACTTTTTACATACGATCATGTTGCATTAATATGTGCTTTTAGACCCATTTCCGTCTAGTTCAAGATTCCAAAAATAGAGCAATATGATCTACTTGGATACCAAGATTCTGACAACAAGAGAGAGAGAGAGGGAGAGAAAGAGGGAAAGGGGGGGGGGTTAATGTCTACTCGACACAAACTAGGTCATTTCGGGACTAACACATGGTTCAGTTTTATTTCAATAATTCGCTTGCGCGTATCGGTCTTTAGCAGGGTGAGGAAACCGGAGGACCCGGGGAAAACCCACGAGGTTGGACAGGCGACCCTACTCCTTGTCACGTACAACCGTGGAATCGATTATGACAACAAAGTCCGCGGTCATTAGAATTAAAATTCATTAAGATGGTTTACCTTAAGATTTTCAATTTCTGTGGCCATTTGGTTAATTTCTGTGTTAAGTTCACCTTTCATGTAAGCGATGTCATAAACTCTTTCACCTTAAAAAAATAAATATAAAAATAAACAAGGAGAAAGAATATAATAAAATATAAATCCTCAGAAACATCTTGTAATTTTTTTTTAAAATCCTATTATTATTCATTAAGAAATTAAACGATACGGGCGTAGATCATTTTGCATACCCAATCGTTTGGTGACATCATGTTGCCTGTTGCGTGTTCTTGCATCAGTTTCCTTGATGGCTCTCCATGCATCAGCTCGGAGACGTTCACCATGTGCTCGTTCTTTTTCCGACAGATTAAAGTGAGTATTGTTAGAATATCCCCAATCTCCAACCGAATATCTGTTATACACCGATTTACTGAAATAAATACAAAGTTATAGATTTTAAATCACCGAAATTAGGGAACATTTCAGAATGCACGGTTTCTATCGTATTATTGATATAAATATTAACTTATAAATTTTAAATTACCGAAATTAGGGATTGTTTCAGAACATTTGTCATGCGCAAATTAAATAGAATAAAAGTAATAACAGGGATCTTGTCTGCATATAAAAAACTAGATCTTTTTTTTTATATAAAACTGAATATTATTGATAAGTGGGTTATATTTTTGCATTCAAATATATTAAATTACAATCACCGAAATCGAATTTAAAAGATCAATCAAAATTAATAACATAAAACTGAACAAGTCCGGGACCCTGATCTCCTACCGATTATAAATCTCTGGGAACTATATCATAAATCTCTGTGTAATATATATTATAAATCTGAAAATATAAAACTTACGATGCTGGGTTGTAGTAAGCCTTAGATTGACCTAGATCTAGAGATCTATTAAGATGGCGTGCTGGTGTTTTGTCAGTGACCATTGGTAACATATTCGACATCTCAGGTGTCATGGAACCTCGAGCAGATAATGTATCGAAATAAGCCATTTCTAGAAATCATAAAAAAAAAGAAAAATAAATTAATAGCACATAATTGATACCTTTTAATTTTATTTTAGGATCATCTCCAGAGATTGTTGTAGTGTGCTAAAATCATGTCGATCAGCATAGTCCAGTGATTCTCAATCAGTGTGCCGCGACACACAGGTGTGCCGCGAGATCTTTCTAAGTGTGCCGCGAATTTTGAACGGCGCACTAAGAAAATGTGAAAATCCAAATGATCCCAATTCAGTATTCGCTGGTGTCTATATAACTGATAAGTTCATAGCTGTGTTTTTCTTTTTTTAGATTAAGTCATTCTATGTTTCTCTTATTACTCCCTGGCTACGGTTGTATTCCGCCTGACTTGCCATGTTTTTATTTTGCAAAATTCGAATATTTGTCATATATATATATTTAGCCAGGTGTGCCGCTATTTTTTCATGTGTTCCAAGGTGTGCCGTTGACCATAAAAGATTGAGAACCACTGGCATAGTCTATGACATAGGACAAACTCCAAGGTAATAGTAACTGCAAACCTGTGGACAGGACAAAATATACACAGCACTTCAAACAACAAACGTACTTGTATATATCAGATCAAGGGAATGAGCCTGGGTGCTAGCAGTTAGCGTCCACAATAACGAAAATAAATTAATATACATATTTTTCACTATGATATCGGATACGTTTAGCATAGGATAGCCACTCTGAGCATTTCTAGAAAATAAGAAAATCCTATAGCTCGTCTGCTATGTTTATAATCAAATGGCCATGGACAAATCTCTTTAATCGCATTCCTATAATCCAAATGGCTATGTATTAACTGTCGATAAACACCGGGACAACCAGCATACAGATTTGCTTAATCCTTCGACATAACATGACATAATAATATAGAAATCATTTATGTATACGTACTGTTTATAGATGCATTGTGTACGATTTAGATAAAGCGCTGACCGTTCTTGCAATAATAGTTTAAAACATATTAAAAAAATAAAATAGTAAAAATTTCAGTCAAATTGCATCTACTTTATTCTGAGCTTAAATATTCCCGATTGTCAAATACCATTGCTACTCTAACAAACAAAGTCTCGATTATCCATTTTAACATTAAACTATTAAATGGCGCTGATGTTGTTATCCATTCAATATATTGGCCACCCGATGCCATAGAGTGTTGATTGTGTTGTAACAGTTCGCATGGGAAGGAGACTTTACAAACCAATAGGAAACTATGATGTTGGCTGCAGACAGAAAGAAATAGAGGACGTTTTGATGGATACAAATGAAAATAGAATAACAAATTGAAAGTAGAATAGTAAATTGAAAGTAGCTATAACTTACTTGGTATATAATAAACGTTCGCCCCAAGTCGGTGCTACAAGCTGACTGATTGTTACTATACTAAATGTTACAACTGATGTGATTGTGTTTGGTTTTCTTCCTACCTTTATAGCCAACAACCTTAGTGAAATCACTTAGCACCCGGGACCATGACAACCCTTGCATTAAGACAAGACTCGCTTCATTACCTGTTCACGTAACCTCCACGAGCTATAATTCCTTTCGTCACCGGCTTATAAGGCCGCCACAATGTTAGGATTAGTTCAAACGCTATTTCAGGTCTCTGCGAACGAGTGATTTCTTTTCGCTGGCACAAATTGTTCTAAAGGGGCAAAATGAAATGAAATGGGATTGCACAGCTTACTTTTCTGCACCAACTGGGTTAATGAAATGAAATGGGGTTTAACGTCCTACTGTTCTGCTCCTATGCTGGGCTAATGAAGACGGACATACGCCATACAGTGTGCTATGAGGCAGCGGCACTATAGGCTACTCTTATATCGAATTCCAACTGCCAAGGGTTCTTTTACGTGCATTCTAATGTATACACGGGACCTCGGTTTTTCGTCTTTAGGACTAAAATGTTATCTAAATTATTAATTAGACATTAATTAACTTATCCAGACCATAATCAACTCTCGATGTCATCATCGCTAGCCTGCGATATTTTCTGGATTGGAATCCTATCTGCTGCTTAACGCTCATTGATAATTAAATCAAAAACTGGATAATCGAGACTATGTTTTTTTATCGTACCGACTAAAGTAATTACGATTAAGGCTAGACCCAAAATTCAATCGCTAAAATCTCGGTTTAGAGTGGATCAATTTGACTGAAGTTTTCAGCAAATCCCCTTTACATAATTAGTTTTTAACTATTATAGTGAGAACTCCCAGCTCTTTATCTAATCTCCCATAATCGAACTTTAAGTAAAGAATTTACTCAAAATTGTTCGCCTTATTTTAACTACAAATATGGCCCTTTATAAATCTTTTTTTTATTATAATGTATCAAATACATCAATAAAAAAAACTATGTGCAAAGTTTTGTGTTTCTGGATCAAATATATTTCTCATAAACATTCTCATAAAGTTGAGTAAATTCTTAACTGAAGTCTAAGAATGCTTTGTGAACTCGGTTTGTGAGCCAGCGCCATAGTCACTCAGTTAGCTCTTAAAGAGGCATACTATCACTCTTACCAAGAAAATATTCAGAACAGATATTTCAAGTTCTGTGTAGTAGTAGTAATAAGTAGTATAAATTAACTAACAAACAAGTAAAATTTAACAAAACAATTGCACATGTAACAGACCAACATCTTCACTGATGGTACTATAAATATCCAATTCCCACATACCGTGTGTGCCGTGTGCATTTCTACAACTCTCAAAACGTCTATATTTCGACAATGGCTTTGCAAATTTAGTATACAAAATAATTTGGACATCCCTGATGTAACGGTATAGTCAAATGATAAACATTATTTTTCCGCCCGTTGTAAATCTAGAACCAAATGGTTTTAAAAGAGCCAAGTCTTTAACTCATTGTAATTCACAGTTTTCGACATTCCTAACACGACTTATTGGTCAGTTTAAATCAACATTGGTGTTATTATCTTACCGTGAAAAGCTGGACTTCTGATATGCAATATTTAAGACAAATTTTAAAATTGGAGCCCGATCGCGTGCCAGAATGCTTTCGAGCGCCAGTTGTATGAAGCGACTCGATATCCTATATAGGCGAATACTACCGATATAGACTGGAACAGTGGAAGAACCAGACGCCCAAGACTGCCATTCAGTTCAGACCCTTCGAGTATTTCGCCGAACATAACTGATTAGAAATTACAGTAAAAACAGAAATGATTGAATGTAAATCAGTTTATATACATTCATATTACATTATTAAATGCGACCCATTTATGCCCATTTCTAGGTGCCAAAGAATAGCGATTTAGCTCCTTCAAAAACTCGTAGCTCTGTAATTAATCCACTGGCTCACTACCTATAGAAATTTCACTTGTCAGTATTGCAAGGTAGAGGAAGTGACTAGTGTGTAATCATTCGAATTAGACTGTAATGCCACTGTCCGGTAAAAATTACACTGCATTACGTATGTCATTCCTCACTATCCCAGTTGGTGTAATAATGTAAGACTAAAGTCTCGTCAAAAAACGGTGGCTAGGTGGTTAAGACGCTGGCTCGCTAGCCTGGAGGTCGGGTGTTCGATCCCTGCATTGGCCGAGAAAGTTCATCCAGATTTTCCACTTGTCAGAGGGCCTGACAAGGACAGCTGTCTAGTCCTTCGGATGATACGAGGTCCCGTGTATACATTGGAATGCACGTAAAAGATCCCTTGGCAGTGTGAATTCGATATAAGAGTAGGCGATAGTACCGCTGCCCGGGCAAGATTTCCCTCATAGCACACTGTATGGCCTATGCCCGTCTTCATTAGCCCAGTATAGTAGCAGAACAGTAGGACGTTAAACAACATTTCATTTCATTTCATTTTTTCGTCAAAAAACACAATACTTTGGACATTATGAGGCTATTATAATTTTATTTCTGTGTTTACGTGTCGAATACCAGCATTTTCCCCAGGCAGTGCCGACTTTTGTTTGAATCCAAATCACCGTGGGTCTTTTACGTGCACTATCAATTTATTCACTGAACCTCGGGTTGTCGTCAGATACCACCCGATATACCCCGAGATTCGAACCCAGACATTTTAGTTGGTATCCCGAGTCTCCCAACAAATTTTAAAAAGCTGGATCATAATATGCCTGCTGTCCGTGGTTATGTGTAGGGACTGGCATAGAAAAAGAATCTCGTCGTTCGGAAGGGATAATAAACCAAGGTACTGTGTACACATTGGCGTGCACATAAATATACACCATACGGTCAGGGTTCGACAAACGTAGACAAAATTTCTCTTTCTGCGCTGCATGAAGTTTGTAAGTCTCTATTATATCGACCAGTGCAGAAAAGTAGGAAGTTAAACCCCATTCATTCATTCCTTCAGTCTTTTTTTGAAAATCTAATATTAAACAATCGATCCCAGTTAGAATTCCACCGAAAGAAATAGCGGTGATATATATTTAGTGATGTGGATCTTTACGCAGAATGGTCATGAACGGTGCCTAAGAGGGTGGTGTCCATTTCAAATTTTGTTGGGGAGATCAGACTGTTTGGCGAGGAGAATTCATGGGTTACACTCTAAGTCGTAACCTTCTACTGACCCCTTTGGTGTCTGGCTGTGTGTGTGTGATGGGGGGGGGGATGTCCGAACTCTCCAAGGGGGGGGGGCGAATGGTTAGCACGTGCGCGCTGTATCATAAGGTCTGTCATTGAGTCAACTGGCGTGGTTTCGATTCCCCGGTTGTACGTGGCAAGGAATAGGGTCGTGGGTTTTCTCAGGGTCCTCCGGTTTCTTCCCACTGCTTAAGACCCCTACCGAATTATTGAAATAAATTTGAACCATATGATAGTCCCGACATGACCTTGTTTGTGTCGAGTGGACGTTAAACCCCATTTCTCTCTCTCCATTGTGGATCCGCATGTAAATTTCGATCGAGATTAAAATAAAAGAAGTTGATAACTATGGATCTACATATAACAGTTTATTTTGAATACACTATAGATTCACGGGTACATATTAATTAACATATATAAATTCTAATTACTGTACAATTTATAAATATTATCTAGAGCAATGTTTAATACAAATATATTCATTATTTTATTTAAATTGTGTGAGGACGTATTGGATCCTTTCACTGATACTGAATCCATAAACTGATGAGGGTTTGAATAGAAGGAAGATAAGTATTTCGATTTTTAGCCTTTAATCAATTCATCTATGTTATTCTTAACACTAGTATTATTTACAACATAAAAAAACATAAATACAAATCCAAAACAAAAATAAATAATTAATCAATTACAAAATTAATCGCATCAATTAACATAAATACATTATAAACCAATCGAATGGTTCAAAACTTAAAATTTGGCACAAAAATGGACATCCACTGTTTTCAAAAACAGAATAAATTATATAAATTAAATAATCGATTACTAAATGATTGCAAAAGAAGAATTGATTATGAAATAACTTACAGAAAGTGTTAAATACAAAAACAAGTCGTGATGATGATCATAAAAAGTGTTCAATTAAATTTACAGGGCTACATAAATATGTACATCATAACAAAAGCCCAGAGGCTAAAAAAACAGGAATATCTTGACGTTTTATAACTTTGGGTCAAATTCTTTCAAGTGGACAGTAGGAATTAAGAAGAAAATGGTGCTATAGGTTACATATGTAATTGCCTACAGATAGATCCTATAATTTAGAACCAGGGCTATTCATACTAGGTTTCTCCTGCAAATTGACCAGCATTTCTCAAAATACCTGATGTCGAAATAAACCAGGACGAAACTGAGAATAAGAATCTACTCTAGGATTCGTTTTAAAGGATTATTCCACTAGTGCGACTCCTTTCTTCGGCTAACGTTTTGTCACCTTGGTTTTCGCTTCCATCCACTTCTACTTAGACGGAGCTGCAATTGTCAAATTACTAGAAGAACAAGACTAAAAACTTTAGGTCTGGACCCAATCAATTAGTCGGATAGGCCGCGATCACAATGCAACAAGGAGAGTTAAATCCTTACCAACCTTACCAAGGGTAATAGATGTAGTAGTGGTTCGATGCCTCTATTAGTTGTTAATACATTTCGATGTGTTAAATAATACTGATTAGATTTAGTAAAGAAAATTCATTTATTGCCTTTAGATAACTTTGCTTTTTCGACATTTTCGAATTTTACAACCTTGGGTGTAATTTAATTTTTTTAACAGGTAGGCATCTGGAATATAGGACCAACTTTAGGGTCCATGGGGAATCCCTTCCTCATACCCATGCATAGTTGAGAATCTACTTTCAGTGAGTTTTCCTTCACTCCGATGTCATTCTCAAGAACAGCTTTGGTTTTCATGAGTCGCGCCAAACTCATTTCCGCTTCTTTCAAACTTTGTTTCAACATGATGATCGAGTCTCGGATTTCACCAACTTCATTCTTCAACCTGATTGGATAAAGAAAATCTCGTTATTACTTTAAAGGAGCTAAATCGCTAATATTTGGGACCTAGAAATTGACAAAAATGGGTCGCAACGCATATAATAATGTAATATGAATGTTTTTACTGTAATTTCTAATCAGTTATGTTCGGCGAAATACGCCGAAGTCTCATGTGAATGGCAATCTTTAGTTCTGTTTTTTTCAGTCTACACCGATGGTATTTAATGCGCATGCTCTCCAGATAAGAATATAGCGTCACCATATGACATGACTTGTGGAATATGTCTAGCCCTGTTCTTTGAGTCCCTTGTTCCAAATGGCGCCGAAACGCATTATGGTACACGATTCGTGTACCAATGGTAAAATGTTTATTGGATATCAGAAGCCCATCTTTACCCTTTAAGATCACAAGACCAATGTTGATTTGAATTGACAAATAATTCGTGTTTTCAATGTCGAAGATTTTTGATGATATTGAGTTAGAGACTTAGCTACTTTAAATGAGTGGAATTTCATTGGCATTCTGTTTAGATGGGCCGTGTCCGTGGCAGTGTATGCTCCTTTAGAGATTTTAATCATTGAAGAGTGTCATGTCAGTGTAGGAGATCGACAACACCCCCGTAAAGATGCATTATGTAAGATTTAGATAAAGAGCTGGCCGTTCTTGCTATGGTAGTTCAAAAATAGATAATAAGAAATGAATATATTGGAAATTTCATTCGAAATATTTTATTCTGAGCGAAGTTATGAATATTTGAATTTTTGGCTAGATAGTCTCGATTGTCAAGTACCATTGCTACAGTAATAAACAAAGTCTCAAGTATTTTATCGTTAAATTATTAAATGGCCTGACTACGGGGTAGCCGCTTATTCTTCATCGAATACGGGTGGTCCAGACATTTTCGTTCCTGCCGAAGGACTATTCATCCTGTGAAACTCCCGGAAGATTTAAAATATGAAAATATTTTAACTTACGATTTCATGACGGGATCGTGACAAACTTCAACATTAATTCTTCTGGTTCGTTCATCAAGTCGAGTTTGGGCGACTTTCATTGGGTTCTCTTTATCTTGTATAGCTTTACGTAATAGACTAATGTTTCTTTCCATGTCAAATATTTCTTGCATTGTCTGAAATTAATAAATAAAATACATATATTTTACTGATAAAGTATTGTGTATTCCCATATCATCGGCCGCCATTTTTACAAATCAAACGTTCTGTGATTTGTTTTGGCGAAACGAGTGAATTTGTTTTAAATATTAACGAAGATTCGCCATATTACGCACCCTGACAGCATTGTAATGCCAAGAGCATTTTGTACGGGTATCTTGAAAGTTGAAGGATCAGAAGCCACGATTGTTCAATCGGGGAGGCGCTGGCGAACTAACCAGGAGATCGATCATTGCATTAGCTCAACCCATTTACAACAGAGAACCTATTTCGGCAAACCTAGGCCAAATCCGGTACCCGACGTAGAGCACAGGGTTCTGACAAGGTCTGCCGAATGTAGTGGAGGCCATTGAAAATATAAACACGAAACGAAATATAGTTCTGTATTTTAATTAGACTGGTGTTGGTCGAGAAAGCTGACAAGAGAAGGGTGTCTAGTCGTGGGTTTGAGACGAATAATCTAATTTTTCTGCAACTAAAAGAACCGTAGCAGTTGGAATTCCAAAAAAGCGAAAACTATGAGTCAACAGCAAAAGTCAAGTCAATGTCGACACGGTTTCGGTTTAATTTTTGAATTAAAAGATTATGATTTGTTTACTTACACGTTGTAGATGAGCTTGTAATTTATTTCTGGCGTCTGTAGTTTCGTGAATTCTCGTGTTAAATGCGTTGTTGACGGCATTAAAGATATTCCACATTTCATTTGCGCATGCTCTCATCAAGGTGTCGATTTCGCCTCGAAGTCGTTCAGAAGCAGCTCGTTCTTTCTGAGATCTGGCGATGTTTTCTTGAGTATATTTAGCCCAAGTTTCTGGTATAGTGATTCTGTAAAACAAAAGACACTTGTGACCATAATAGCCCCTTACTTTGACACTTTAAAGGGCAAGCCCGGCATGTCTACACAGGCAGTACGGCATACATGTTCAGAAAACTTTGTAGTATTACATTAATATTACATTTTACCAATTCAATCATTATTTTCAACATATTTGGGCAAATTTTTGAATTATTTGCTCTAATAGCCCTCGTCTCTCATTTGTCTTGTACGAACAAGCTTGGCACCAATTAGAGCAGGTTTATAATGGTGTTGATACTGCAATTTTGGATATTTAAATGATTACTCGATAGCGATCGAAACTCGCATGGTACAAACAACTTACGTATTATCAACACTTTCTATACTGGGGAAATACCCAATACCACCTGATGAATTCCTCAATTGTTGCATTCGATCGTCCAGTCCCTGTGCGTGGTGTTTATCTTTAGAATCAATATCCAAAGCGTGCTGGGCGGCCCTGTCTACTCTAAAAGTTAAAAAACAAAATTCGCATGATTTCAATTAATAAAAGAAATATCTAATAAACGTTGATGATTAAAATTTTGTTTATTAATTAAGTTTTTTCTAAACATTGTTCTGGATTCTATTCCAACATTTATTGTTTCGGGAATTCAAATTAATTCCAAATTTTACTAGAGATTTGTAGAAAAAAACTTACTTGAGTTGGGCGGCGGCTTTATCCAATAATCTCTTCATTTTCTCTTGACATTTCTTGATTACACCTACTTCCTATTTAAAAAATTCAAAGATGGCGGTGAAAACAAAAATCAGAAATTTATTCAATCTTTATTCATATACAACACAGAAGACTTTGTGGATGTGACTCTGTGTCTTCACACTTCTGATATTGAAATGTTCAATCCATAGAAAAATAGTTGTTAATGCGACTGAGACTGCTATTCGTCATTTGGGAGATTTTTAATCCCTTGTAACCAAGAATACTGTGACAATTGAATCTCTAAAAAGCGATATCAGTCTAAAAATGGTTTAATTATGTTTAGCAAATACTTTACAAGGATATAATGAATTGGGAATTTCGCAACATCGGCATCATATACAGTTTCCGATATCAATAAGCCAATGCTTATATGATGAATAATCAATTTCAGTACATTTTAGTTTGCATTACTTGATTAAATGGTAACCAAAAGACTAATAGACTATCTTAATAGTGTATTTTAATTCAATCGCCGTGAGCTTTCTTTCCACTGTGGCGAATGAGAGGATGTCTGTAATGGATCAGACACCTTTTTAATGCCCTGATATATCGGCCTTACCTTGATGAGATTTTTTTCAACATCATCGTTAACCAAGTCGATACCTCGTCGTTTTTCACGATGCATCAAACATTCTTCAGATACATGTAATGGATTAGCTGTGTCACCTAAAGCTTTCTCTAGGGTTCGACGATACTCCTGTAAAAAAATGAGATGACATTTTGTATGAATACCGAATAGAAGTATGGTTCGTCCAAGCCAATACACATAATGATTTGTTATGAAGTGCTCACTAAGTTTTGTTATGAATTTTCGTGGCTGTTGAACGTTCCCAGAAATTTACCATAACAATTTCTCTAGTGTTCGACACTACGGTAATATAAATATAATGTAATACATTGGATATCCGTAGATGGTATGAACATATAAAAACAATAGATATGGTTTCACTGTCTTTATGGGAGATAACTCTGTTAGTGTAAGGGGGGCTGTAAGTGGATCATGTCCATACCACCAAAGATAGTACATGTTTTCCATAAATTGGATAGTCGTAGATTATATGAACCTGTTTAAGGAATAGATACGTGATTTAGTTGTTTGATGGGAGATAACTCTATCATGGTAAAGGGGCATGTCTCACTCAGCTGCAGAAGGACCACCAATTTAAGCTGTTGATGAAGCTTTAAGAAATATGATAGTTTACCTTAAGATTTTCAATTTCTGTAGCCATTTGGTTAATTTCTGTGTTAAGTTCACTTTTCCAGAAAGCGATGTCATAAACCCGTTCACCTGTAATTAAACATAACGTAGATGAATAAAGGAGATTGGTAGTGGTGGGTGGGGGCCGACCTAAAGCCCAACTTACTGACACTGATCTGATATGAATTACGGGCTAGACCCACAAATGTATAATAGACCTGAAACTGTTCTAAATATTTAGAGTTACCAGTTTGTTTATAGTTATTAAGGAATTCGAGAATAATTCAGTTATATTGATAAGTCCGAAATACTATGAAAAAGGTGTGATAAATTAACCCCAAACTATTTTATCTTTAAAATTCAAACACGTCATATTTTAACATAAATAAATAAAATCCATGTGAATGATCATACCAAGTCTCTTGGTGACGTCATTTTGTCTGTTGCGTGTTCGGGCATCAGTTTCCTTGATAGCTCTCCAGGCATCGGCTCGGAGACGTTCGCCGTAAGTCCTCTCTTTATCAGATAGTTTAAAGTGAGTATTGTTAGAATATCCCCAATCTCCATGCGAATATCTGTTATACACAGCTTTACTGAAATAAACACAAAGTTGTAATTTTGAATCACCGAAATTAGGGATTGTTTCAGAATGTTACCATTGTTATACACCGATTTACTGAAATAAAAACAATCGTATAAATTTAAATTCAATTTCATTTGTTTTTGTGTTTTTTTAAATCACAGAATCAGGGTTTACTTTCAGCATACCCCTAAAGCACTATTGAATCCCTTTAAACTACAATATTAGGAAAGATGATTCTATAAAACCCCAAAATCAGCCCAAAAATGATTCAGAACCATCCAAAATGGTATTTTATTGGGTTTATATTCATTTTCTAAGATAATCCATGGTTGCTCAGAGAGTATGGTCTGGTTAGCTATTGAAAAGGTAAAGGTGTTAAACGAAACGGTTCCCTGGGAATTTCGAACCCCAGTTTCCATGACCTGTGAAAATGGTTACAAATGTTCAGACTTACGAGGCTGGGTTATAGTAAGCTTTAGCATGACCCACATCCAGAGAGTTTCCAAGATGGCGTGTAGTGGTCTTGTCGTTAACGTATGGAAGCATCTTGGACATCTCGGGCGACAGAGGAGTCATGGGGGTCCTGGTTCGAGCAACAACTGGAAGATCGTAGTAAGACATTCTGGAAATTAAATAATACATATGATTAATAGTCGTGAAATAAACTGAATAACAAAGTAAAAAAAACCCCAACTAATCACAAAATACGTGAAAACAGGTTGAAACAGACTGGAAGACAGAGAAAACATATCTCTCAAACACATGAATTAAGTTTGAGCTCGACTGGGGGGGGGGGTGAGTAAGGGGTTTCTAACGGAACCGACTGAGAGAAAAGGTACATAATATCTTCATACTGGAAGAAAGAGTAAAAGCCACGTAACAGAACACATGAAAGAAGCATGGAAACGGCGGAAGAAAAAGTGAATAATATCTCACGAAACACATGATTCAAGAGTGAAACCGACTAGAAGACAATGTAAAAAACAAAATCTAACAAACCACATCCAACATGAGTGAAATCAGTTGGAAGAAAAAGTACTAATATTTCACACAAAAAAACTCATGAAAGAAGCATGAAACAGACTTGAATAAAAAGTAAAACAGGCATCCCAAAATACACGAAAAATGAGAAAATGGAGCAATTTATAGATCCTTACTTTAAACTTCGCAAATTCACACTGGCGTATAGGGTCCTCGGTAATAACAATGGCGTCAAGAGTAGAATTGAAGCAAGCCTTGAAACGTTTCTCTTTTCTAATCAGAAATCGATTGTTACCAATGATTATCATATAGATGGTGTTAAAAGTTTTGATTATTTAATGAGCAGATTCTGCAGATTTCAATTAATTGTACTCTGTGATCTTTTCAATATTATGACGGACAAACAATGAATCATGTTATTCATATGATGTGAACTGAAATCGTTGATTGCGATCTGTTTACTCAAGACTTGTGTTTTCTCATCCAATTGAATAACAATTTAAAAAAAAAAGAAAAAAGAACGGAATGACGTTCAGTGTCTTGTCAACACAACAGTCAGTTTGAGACTAGCATAGGGATATTTGTTTACGATGGTCACGTGCGGAATTCGAGGAAAAAGAGCTTTTTTCGAACAGTGACGTTTCCGCCCATTCTTCATCGAATTTTGACTTCCAAGTCAGATTGTTGGGTTTTTTTTTACTTCTTAACGACTAGCCAACACAGGATGAGCTTTTTGTCAGTAATATCATTTCGTTGGAAGCGGACGTTAACTAAAGCTATTTCACATCCACACTACCCATGATGAACTACCCATGATTGTTTGTACGGGGCAACAACCACCATTTGAATTTATATATTTTTTTAAAACAAAATTACAGTTTGAAAGCAAACATCGTTAATCTATTTTGTTGTAAATATGGTAACTAACGATATCGTGCAACATCACGTGGGAAGAGTTGGGAGTTATCTCGCTAAAATCTAAGATGGCGTCGTTAAACTTTAACCAATGTTTGCGTTATGAATATTATATGAGTTGAAACACGTAGTCAGTAGCATAGTTACCAGGATAACCATGGAAACAACCGCCATTTGTAAATGTATGGAACTTGGTTATTTAATGATATAACAATTACTTATTTATCGGCTAATTACTATTATGTTTTTGTTACCAATATCGCCATTGTTTTATTCTTTTGATCAGATATCTAGATTTATAATATAGCCAATATTTGCCCTTTATTTTCGGGGTAGTATCTTATTCTTGTCAGTGCAATATAATTCAATTTTTTTAATTCCAGTAATTAGCGTTTTATTAATGCCATGGTATTGTCAAATCAGTCTAGGTTGTTGAAATTATTGGCTATGTCCTACGTTGAAGACTTTAAACTAAACAGATTGTAGGTCTACCTATATATACAGAATTGATTATGTATACATATAGATATAACTAGACGTAATTGCAATATAGATTTAAAATGAACAGACTGTGTGTATAGAATCTATATAAATAATAAGATTATGTAAGTATTGTGACATAACATCGTATAAGATTTATATATTATTTAATAAGTAAATATATACTTTATTTAACGGTATTCTATTCTATGGCAAATTAACTAATTAGATTTTTTTCATTAAATGTAAAGACTCTGTATTTAATAATTCTGTATCCAAGGAATCTGTACCTAATAATTCTGTATGTAAGGATTCTATATTTAAAGATTATGACAAATTTCAGCTCATAAACTGTGTCCTTTGCGTCTTTCTAAATTTTTGTTTTTAATTTCTGAACGTTCAAATTAGAAGATAGGGTGCTGTATAGCGCCTTCTGGTTTGTAGGTATAGATTTCTAAAGGAAACTACATTAAGATTTTGGGAGATTATTAAATAAAGTCCAAACTAAAAGATATATATATGGAATTTAAAACTGAATGCATTGGTTGTATTTAGGCAACATATTTAAACACCGTTTTACTTTCCTTATCAAAATTATAATGAAATTTAAATAACATTAATTGTCGATATGGTTTCTAATTTATACATGGGCAGTCGATTAGTCTAATACGCCGCGCATGAAGGCGACAAGGAGTAGGGACGGCTGCCTGATTTCTTGGATTTTCTCCGGGTCCTCCGGTTTCCTCCCACTGTTAAAGACCCCATAGGCGCAGGCTAATTATTGAACTAATAAATTGTACTATGTTAGTCCTAGAATTCACTAGTTTTTGTCGGGTGGACGTTATACCGCATTCTCTCTTCCGCTCTCTCATTTAAAGGTGTTCATTATCTCGAGATATTTTAAACAAGTCTTAACAACGCCCAATCACGTTCAAGGTAAAGAAGTATGAAATTTCAAACAAAAGTGAGTAAATTATTCTTTTTTTTTTATATAATACGGATTAGGTTGAATAGGGGATCAAATCACTAGAACAATAGTTTGAATTTTGCTTCTAACTCTGAATTAAGATGGCGGATCACTATGGTAACCAGGTGTTATAGACAGATTAATCATACACTGCCCGGTGTTATTTTGGAGCTACACAATCAATTTCAAACAATATAAGTTTTTTTTAAATAAAGGTTATATGTATGGTCCTCGAATGTACCGTGAAGTTTTGCTTCATGAATAAAGGACGCCACAAAACTTAATAAAGTATGGATTTATTTTCAGACAGGTTGAAGGGCTGAAATTTCCACACGGAGATTTAAACACCAAAAGGGTTAGGGTTTGTAAATCCCCCTCCAAATTTTAAACTTGACCCTAACCCTAATCTAGAATTCCAGTTAGATGAATATTCCGTGTGAACGCCCCCTCCCCACTTGCCCTGACAACAGACATACCTTTTTTCTTCAGATTGAAACATTGAAAGTAGGACTAACACTTACTTGTTTTAAGATGTTAGTCCCAAGCTGTAGTTAAGCTAGCTGATATTCAGATAGATGTTAGTCCCAACTTGCTGACTGTATACAGACGTGGATATAAGACTAGAGAGATCTCACGATTGTGGTCTAACATTTATTTTGCCCCAACCTTTATAGTGTAATATTTTAACTACTAAGCACCCGACGCCATGACAACCCTGTAACATAGTATATTTACCTGTTCGTCTACCTGTAGAAATCCACCAGGGAAAAGTGTAATAGAAGTAATCGATAATCTCAACACCTTAATCCGACGCTAATCTGATTGTTTGGAGATATGATCTTATTGCTAGACAAATAGTCAGGGGATTACAGGCGTCAACAACACGTGTTACGAACACTTACGGTAAATAGACAGACGGAAGTCGGAGAGAGAGAGAGAGAGAGAGAGGGGGGATTTAGCGTCCACTCGACACAAACTATGTCATTTCGGGACTAACACATGGTTGGAGGACCCGGGGAAACCCACGAGCTTGGAAGAGAGAGAGAGAGAGAGAGTGTGTGTGTGTGTGGGGGGGGGGGGCTACGCGTTACTTCAAATTTAACAGAGAACTGACATCATATGTTCTAAACACAGCTTTACGACAACTTCCGACAGGTATATTTTCAAGACAGGAAGCTTTAATCTGCGAAGTGTCATCAGATATTCTAGAGTGAGTGAGGCTGACAAGGACAGCTGTCTAGTCGTTCGGATGGGACGAAAAACCGAGGTCCCTTGTACACATTGGCGTGCACGTAAAAGATCCATTGGCAGTTGGAATTCGATATAAGAGTAAGCCGTAGCGCCGCTGCCCAGGGAAAATTTCCATCATCGCACACGGTATGGCGTATTCCCAACTTAATTAGCCCGGTTTAGGAGCAGAACAGTAGGACGTTAAACCCTATTTCATTTCATTTCATTTCAGATATGAAAACGGAAAAGGGAATTCTTCCAGGGACGTAACCTGTCCACTTGGTCTGTACTAATATTAAACCAGTATGAATATAAACTAGCATTTAACTTTAACATTTTAAGGTCGGTTGCTTTCATTTTGTTTTCCAACTGTGTGGTTACGTGTTGAAAACATAAAGATACACGTAGGCTTTTAACTAATTAAATTAAATGTTCGGTTAGTTCTCAGCCCTTTGTCTCAAATCTTGCACACGATGAACACGCGATGAAAATGCATAATCAAGTCACGCCAAATAGAAAACCAGTTATGTTTTACAACTTTCATTTTTCACAACAACGACAAGGTGTATCAGTTGTTAAAATTGGGCAATATTGCACACACCCCACCCCACACACCGAAAATTCGTTGATTTCGGTGATTTCGCATTGTGATCAAACGTCCGGAACAGATTCATTAATCTCTAAGTTGCATCCAGTTTGCGATATAATCATAGAGATCGGAACCATCCTACAAGTATATAGGCCTATATAAGCATCCTCTTGAAGAAATATATTAAGAACGCTGTGTGTTACCCTAATTTTCTTTAATTAAAGGGGCGCCACGGTGGCTAAGTGGGTAAGACGCTGGCTCACTATCCTGAAGGTCACGAGTTCGATCACGGCACGGATTTTCAGACGTGGTTACTCCTTGTCAGTGATGCAGGACGGAGGGCCTGACAAGGACAACTCTCTAGTCGTTCGAATGATACGAAAAACCGAGGTCCCGTGTATACATTGGGGTGCGCGTAGAAGATCCCTTGGCAGTTGGAATTTGATATAACTGTAGGCCATAGTGTCGCTTCCCGGGTAAAATGTCCCTCATTGCCCACTGTATGTCGTATGCACGTCCTCATTAGCTCAGTCGGAGAAGAACAGTAGGACGTTAAACCCCAATTTCATTTCTTATATTAAACACAAATGCCCCATCAAGGTGTACAGTATAAATATAATTATAAAAGAAAAACATAACGGAATATTTCATAGTGCCAAAGTTTATGATTGTTGAGGAAAACATTCAGGTATACAGAGCTAATCCTCTTTGATGTACATCAAAATAAAGTATTGAATTCGAATAGTGACAGGACATTAATAAAATTAATGGGAAGTTGGTTGCCTAAATCTTTCTAACTTCCCCAACCCATTACTGTCGTCATTTGGAGACTAGAGTAAGCCAAAATAATCCCTGGGGTTGTTCAGAATCAAAACGTCCATCGGTAGTAGCACTGGCAAATACGTAAGCGAACCTTTGGCAGTTAGAATTCGAAACAGAGTAGGTGGAAACGCCACTGCCCCGATGAAATTCCCCCGAACACCACCTATACATTGCACACACAACTATAGAAATGAAATTACACATGTTAGTTTCAATATGACTGCATTATTGTATTCACGAGACTTTAAGCCCCATGCCATTTTATTCTAGAATTAATGGATGGGGAAGCTGCGATAGGTCGATTCTAGAATTAATGGATGGAGGAGACGCGATAGGTCGATTCTAGAATTAATGGATGGAGGAGACACGATAGGTCGATTCTAGAATTAAAGGATGGGGGAGCCGCGATGGGTCGATTCTAGAATTAATGGATGGGGGAGCCGCGATGAGTCGACTCTAGAATTAATGAAGGGGGGGGGGGGCGATGGGGCGATTCTAGAATTAATGGATGGGGGAGCCGCGATGAGTCTACTCTAGAATTAACGGACGTGGGGGGGGGGGGGGGCGATGGGCCGATTCTAGAATTAATGGATTGGGGAGCCGCGATGGGTCGACTCTAGAATTAACGGATGGGTAAGCCGCGATGGGTCGATTCTCGAATTAATTGATTGGGGGGGCCGCGATGGGTCGATTCACGATTCTATTCTATAATTTATGGATGTGGTGAGCAGCGGTGGCTCGACGAGTAAGACGTTGGCTTAGAAAAGTTAGTGGGGTTTTTTTCCGGCGTGATTTCCCCGTCTCAGTGTTGCAGGACTGACAAGCTACAACGATGGGACGAAAAACCGAGGTCCCACGTACACGTAGGTGAGCACATAAAAGAGCCCTTCTCTGCGTCATCCGGGCTAACAAAGACAGGCGTATATCATGGAGTGTGCTATCATGGAGGTTCTTTGAAGTTCAAGCCAACGTGTACACCGGACCTCGACTTTACGTGCCATCCGAAGTATTAGACGTTTTGCTATGCACCCCCCCCCCCCCTTGTCCTGCACCAATGCCAATAACATGGAAAATCCCGATGAACTTAAAATAATGAACATAATGTGTAGTACAGTTCGGAACAACTTTTATCGTCCAGTGCTCGGCTATCCCTTCTTTTCACAATACAGGGTTTATTCACTGGGTCGTCCGGGTCATTATCACCCCAAACATCTTCGTTGTCAAAATCACGACCATTCGACCACACAAAATCTCCACGTGACATATCATACTCTAATCCAATCCAAACATGTTCTATTCTGAAATAAAATAAACAAACGAGTGTTGAGCGTTAACACAACGAAAGTCTCTCTGAAAATTCAGATGTAGCGGAGTGGACGCCATGGAATAAAACCTGATGGAGGTTGGTTTAACTATTTCGATATTTAACTGTCAGGGGATTTGTTACATGCTGCCATTGGTCCCAAATCTCGATCGAGTTTTCGTCCCATCCGATCAACTGGATACTTTTCTTGGCAGTTCCTTTCGTCCAGAACCACTGACAAGGGAAAACTAGGAAGGAAAACGCAGAAGAATTTTATTGGTCAACACAAGGATCGAACCCTTGACCGCCGAGTCAGTGAATCAGTGACTTGTCACCTAGTCACTAAGGCTCCGACGTGGTTCGATAATAAAGTGAATAAAGTAAATGGAAGAAGTGAAAAGAAAGAACATGGCATAGTGTAGCTAGGATTACGTCTAGGGTAGTAAGGACATGACATAGTGTAGAAAGTATTAGATCTAGGGTAGTAAGGGCATGACCTAGTGTAGCTAGGGTAGTAAGGATATGACCTGATGTAGCAAGTATAAGATCTAGGGTAGTAAGAATATGACCTAGTGTAGCAAGAGTTAGGTCTAGGGTATTAAGTATATGACCCAGTGTAGCAATGATTAGATCTAGGGCAGTAAGGATATGACCTAATATAGCAAAGAGAGAGAGAGAGAAGGAGAGAGAGAGAAAGAGAGAGAGAGAGAGAGAGAGAGAGAGGGGGTTAACGTCCACTCGACACAAACTAGGTCATTTCGGCACTCACACATGGTTCAATTTTATTTCAACAATTCGCTTCCGCGTAGCAGTGGGAGGAAACCGGAGAACCCGGAGAAAACCCACGAGGCTGGACAAGCGATCCTACTCCTTGTCACGTACAACCGGGGATTCGAAACCACGCCAGTTGACTCAATGACAGGCCTTATGATACAGCACGCACGTGCTAAGCATTCGGCCATCCCCCCCCAATATAGCAAGGATAAGGTCTAGGGTAGTATGGATATGATCTAGTGTAGGGGGGGGGGGGATTAGGGCCTAGGTCTAGAGTAGTAAGGATATGACCAGTGTAGCAAGGATTAGGTCTAAGGTAATAAGGATTGGGTCTAGGGTAGCAAGGATTAGGTCTAGGGTTATAAGGACATGGCATAGTTTAGCAAGTATTAGGTCTAGGGTAGTAAGGATATGGCATAGAGTTATAAGGACATGGCATAGTTTAGCAAGGATTAGGTCAAGGGTAGTAAGTATATGGCATAGAGTTATAAGGACATGGCATAGTTTAGCAAGGATTAGGTCTAGGGTAGTAAGGATTGGGTGTAGGGTAGTAAGGCTCTGACCGGGTGTAGCAAGACTATGACCTGGTGTAGCAAGGATCAAGGCTAATAAGTACGTGTTTCAAAGATATGCCATCCCTACTGAATATTGGAAAACTCGGAAAATACAAGACTATATTATATAGATTGTTAGTTCTACTACGTACACATTATTTGTCTCGAGGAAATCAGTCACTACCGCCATGTCCTCTGATGACGTAATAGTTAATAGATTGCCGCCATGACTCTCACACGTGGTTTTACCGTCTGCCTGCGTCATTCGGGATGTATATATTTCTATATCTGTAAATAAATGTACACGATAGATAAATTTAAAGTAATATAACATTAAAAATTCCACCTTGTAGTCCAGGCTTTTTCTTTCAATTTTCGTATGTGTCTAATAACACCACACCTACGTGCTTTACCAGGGGTGGTACTCGATTGTCAGTTCGGAACGTCCCGAATTGACAGAATTGCAATCAAGTCATATGGAATTCAGCCCCGTCACAGTTCTGCCGGCCCTTACAGCTGAGGTGGTGTGAGTAGAATCGTGACGTATTTTAAGTAATATGTTTCGGTTATCCTGATTGGTTGAGAGATTTTTATGCAGTCTCCAAAATTGCCCCATTCACTCGATAGACACTAATTTTGGAATTGAGAGAATTTAATTCCAGAACATTCAAGCGAGTATCTCCTCCATCGCACCAACAGTCTTTCCAGATTTCTGACTTTTGATGGGCCTTTAACTCATTCTGCACACAGAGAACCATTTACTTCATGTTTCGAGAATAGATCTCTGCCCTAAATAGTCGCCATATCCAAAAATTAGTATATTGTTTTGTAAAGCGGTTCTACTCCGTTTCACATTTGTCATACATACAAAGACTAAATAAACCTTTTCAATTCCATTAAATGGAAGCAGATTAAATACTTAAAATTCTCGAAGTATACTTTGTTTTTTCGACTAAAATCGTCGATTTAGAAATTAAAATGTTGGTCAACTAGCTTAGTGTCTTATCTTAAGCGGGGCTAACTATACACAGACAGCCTAAGTTTAGTATGCCTTTATCTATGATAACGTTGTGTTTTAGTCACATTGACATTCATTAAGGCCGTTAACTCTATCGCCGGTGGTAGTTTGGGTAGGTGTTTAAAGTCTGCTGCCACAAAAAGGTGAGATCGTAGAAATAACCCTAGAGATAAGATTTCTTTAAGGATCATAGAATTAACTGATGCGCGGGCGTATTCAACGCTTTGCGTGGCTATCTTTAATTTTGTTTAATCGGAACGGAATAAATATTTTCGACCAATGGTCGATTTTGGCATTAAAATGTCGATGAACTAGCTTAGTGTATATCATAGAACTGAATTATGCTTGTACTGCGAATTGAATAAGATCTGGGCCCTGTTTCTCGAAATCTTAACTAAAGATAAAATCCAAATTTTAGTAGATACTTCAATTTTGATTGGCTAAGCACTAAAATCAATCTAATATTATCCAATCAAATTACTAAAATTTGGATTATTATCTTAGTTAAAATTTCGTGAAACAGGCCCCTGATCTTAATCATTTTAAAATAAGTCAGTATGGACTTACTGCGGCATTGTATTCCCTGTGTGGTCCACACTGCACTGTTCGTACAGTTAATTATATCCAGCCCGCTGTACTTAAGGGAAGGTGGTGTACATTTGTACAAGGCAGTGTCAGACGTGGTGGTAGAATCATATACTACAGAAGTACCATCAACTGCAGGTGGTGGTCCGCAATTTACTTCTACTTCACCTTCTAAAAGTTAAATAATAACGTTGCTGATCGTAATTTCAATGATTCTGAATCCATTGGAAACTAAAATATTATGAAAAGTCAATCTGATTAAAATACAGGGCCCTGTTTCACGAAATTTTAACTAAAGATAAAATCCAAATTTTAGTAGATACTTCAATTTTGATTGGCTAAGCACTAAAATCAATCTAATATTAACCAATCAAATTACTAAAATTTGGATTTTATCTTAGTTAAAATTTCGTGAAACGGGCCGCAGATCTATATTTCGTTTCGTTTTTTTATACTTTCGATGGCCTACACTACATGAAGATCTGACCGGTTGTACTGGAAGGTCGCGTCAGCCATTGATTAATCTATCAGCGTTGACGTTTCTAGTGGTTTACCAATAACTCACTTCAACCAGAAGGCCGGTAATATAAGAACTCTTCCAGATCCTAGTGTAGTAAAGACAGGTAAAACGAAATTTTGAACTATAAAAAAAGAAACGAAATAGGATCTGTGTTTTAATCAGACTGAATGAAAGTTGAATCTTCAAAATAAATACCAGTTCCCAAATGGTCCAATGTCGTTCAGTATGTAGATGCTATGAACAAGCCAGTGCCACCAAGAAGATGTGTATCTCTAACCATCATATCGCCGTGTCGATCCCTGGTGTGGGCGTGGAGATGGGGGTGCATTCTCACCCTCGAGGGTTTACTCCGGGTACTCCGGTTGCCTCCCACAGGAAAGAGACCTATGCGTGCGATGAGCGTAATAAAATAAGACAACTGGTCAGAGATATAACCATCGGTGGAAGCGGACGTTTTAGACTAATAGACGAAAAATTTTAGTCGCATTGTCGTTTTGTAATGCTGTTTGTGGGGAATTTCAAGACGGGAGATTATCTACGGTTGACACTTCGGGTTTGCTATATTACTTAGAAGTTAATTTACTGATATGCGTAATTTTACCGTGGATTAAAGATGCATTATGTAATATTTCGATAAAGAAATGGGCGTTCTTGCTTTAAAAATATATAAAGAAAAAGGAATATATTAAAATTCCATTCAAATTATTATCATCGTAGCAACGGTACTTGACAATCGAGACTAGGTCTAGATCAATTATTGACAATCCATTTACATCTCGGCCATCCGATGCTCTATATAGTTGATTATAGGCTTTTCATGTGAATAAATGGTTAATTATTAACTAATATTACATTTTAAATCAACAGAAAGGCCTGCGATAAACAGATTCAGCTCTTACATAATGCATCTTTAAACTATGAAAAAGTTGATATTACCTGTTGGTAGACACTTGTAACCAGATGACAACGGTAAACACGTTTCCGCTGGTAGACACGTATGACCAGTACAAGCCCCTGACACAGTCTGCAATAAAACCATTTGCTTGAAATAATGAACATCCTCGAGACCCTAGTGCTCTCCGAAATATTGAACAAATCCGTTAACAACCATAGCCGATATCACTTTCACAAGGTTGTCGGGAAAAGGGGCATAACTCTTGTCCAATTATTGACCGGTTTTTTCGTCTCATGATGCTTCAGACCTAATTTAAAAATAATACTTCAAAAACTGTAGCCGATATCGCATTGACAATCAATGCGAAACACACTGAAATAAGGGAAGTTTAGAAATGAATACCCTAACCCCGCCCTTTATCATATCGAAACAAAGAGCAATAAAGACGGAGTTCTGTAATTTCAGATTCAAAATAGGGTAAACTTTCTCTTTTTAGAACACCTAATATCACTTCTGTGAAGTCGACGCGTAGCTAACAATAGGACATTATTGATTAAACCGATAACAGAACCCTAAAAGACGCCCCCCCCCCCCCCCCAAATAAAAAATAAATAACAACGCCAAAAAGTCGCTTAAGCCTACCTGCGGTACATCGAAACTGTTGCCAAAAATAAAGTCATTCTCAATACTAACATTTCCACCAGTAGTATCCTCATCACTCAATTCACAGAGTGCCTTCCCTTTCTGGTAATTAAATGATTTACATTTTGTCGCGGCGTAACATATCTTTGCACACCGAACAACGCCTAAGATGTGAATTGACGTGTAAACGTGGCCAGAAAGACGCCGGCCATTTTGTAAAAATGAATTATCTGCTTGACGAATACATGATGACGCTTTCACTGACGCCATTAGAAATGTTCCCGGAAATAAAACGACCTGAATAAAGACGAAAATGTTGTATATATTGACCATTTTAAAGTCACCGGGTCTCATTTGAGGGGTTGTTAATTTCATCTACAATATTGTGAACGCTGAATCTCCAAAAGTCATATCAATCCGAAAGTGATTCAGCTTCGTTCAGTATTCACAAATAGATGATGAATTGAAAACTTTGCAAAATTCGCTAAACTCTTTTGATGGGCCTCTTTTCATCCAAATGAATCCAAGTCGGTAGATTATCTATCGTTGATACTTGTATTTTGTTTTCTTAAGTAAATGTTAAATAATCAATCTGAGTAAAACGTCCAAAAATTTGGCATTTTCCGAGAAATGCAAATAACGCACTTAGACTTTAATGTTTATTTCTCTCAAAAAGAATATATCGAGACCGTCTAAGTTCGATCTATTAGTGTTAAAAGATAATATTCACTTAATCAAAATTTCTGGAAAACTGCTACAAAATAGGAGAAAACGCAGTACACAAAGCACCAATAAGAAGAAAGAAAAAAACAAATATCTAAGAGATTTCGAAGCTGTTAGCTATCTGGAACTATCACAAGTAACTATTGAAAAAAATAACAAAATCGCGGTTTTTGGCTGCAGACTGCTTCAGCAATTATTCTTATATTCAGAATCGATCTCTTTTCTTTTGAAATATAAAACAATAGAACAAGTGCTTCGACATCGAATTCAGTAATAAGCGCAATCTGTAATATTCTTTGGCTTCACACTGCTTCAGCAATATCCAGAATCAAATCCTCTTTCCTTTGGGATATCAGAGACCAGAACCATCATTTTACTTAGAAATTCAATAATATACTTAGGTTTCACAATGCTTCTCCAGTTGTTCTCCAGACCAAACAACGGAGGTTGTTTAGAAACTGTGTAATCCGAATACAATAAAATACGACGCCGAGAACAATCGGCACACTTGAGTAACACAATAAAATCCCAGTTTATTGACAAACTTTGTAAGCTTCTTACTATTCCAATAGTCCTATACATGTATCCACAAATAAAAATTATATTTGAGACACAATAGCATATAATATAATAGGAATAGACAATGCAACTTTTTTTTAAAGTTTATATTGATAACCAGCATATAAATCACAATTTTCCAGTCTGGGACTTAAAAAAAGTTTTTTCTTTGGGTAAAATATCAGTGTTGACCGAAACCTACCGACTTAATTATAAATTATGACACGCTAAGATTTTTAAATAAAATAGACACATATTCTAAAAGATAATTATTGGAAAATGTCATACTGACACTGCACCTCTTATAATTCTCGAAAGTTAACTGTGCTAGTTCTGTGCTTTCAGAACACAGAAAGAATTAATTGTGAAATAATGGGTATTTAATGTAGTGCGTCTATAGTTTGCTTATAGTTCAACTTCGTGCGGAACTCTCCGGCGAAGTTTATCGATCGATAACCACACTACACTTGAGTTATCGATCAGGTCTCATACAGATCGATAGATTTTCATAATGCTCTTATTAAGTTTCATTTTGAATGCTGAACATAGAAAAACAATTAAAAGGGAAAAAAATAATCAAAAATTAAACATTGTTAAAAATTCCTGCGGAGTTCTTCGATTTAAGATTTGAATCACGATATGGATTAAGTTTTGTTTATCTGTTGGGTATAATGGCGAGCAAAACAAAACGGTGTGTTCTGATTGAATTGGGGTTTAAAGGATGTATAGCTATATTCTTTGTAACCTTAAGTATACGAAAATGTATATCAGTGTAATACGAATGAAGATAAACTCGTGTACATTTATGTTTTAAATTTCTAATCAGTTATGTTCGGTGAAATACGTAAGCAGTCCAAATTGAATGTCAGTCGTTTGAGCCTTGTTAGTCCAGTCTACGGGTTTATTAGGCCACAGATCACCAAAGATTTCCCCATTGTTAATTTTCGTCTCTTAGGCTGGCTCTAACTTTTTCTCAAATTTTCGTTGGGTAGAATGCTTTCTACCACAGATGAAGTAACAAGTGGCAACCTCTTACCTAAAAGCACGTATGAGGTTCATCATGAAAAACTTGAGATACACAAGCTGGAAGTGGAGACAAGTAAACATGCAATTTCCGGCCCTACATTTCAACGTAACCAACCTCACAACTCTTGTATCCTTCCGCCTCAAAATCATGAATATTCACCAAAACCTGGCAGAAAATGTATATTCAAACCTTTTTCTTCAATTATACACCAAAATGGCGACAAAGATCGCCATGCAAAAGGGGGAAAAGAGAAAGGGGGAGAAGGACTAAAAATAGTTTTGGCCCTATTTGGTGAGTTGTGTCCATCATTGTTTTCTTTTTGTCGTTTGAGTACTGTCCCATTTTAAATACATTCCAACTCTACTACAGCTTTTTAACCACAGATTTTATGGTTTTATTATCCCAACCTATATACCATCTCTGCAGGTAAAATCGGGACTCCTATTAAAACAATATAGAATAGAACAAAATTAATATAGGATTAATATAGAGGTTTTAATTACTTCCGCAATCGGTATATTTTTTCCTTTGTTCATTATGCATATTCATTACAAATTATTGATATTGAGATTATGTTTTTAAATCAAACTTTAAAATATCAATTAGAGTAGATTTTAGCATGGATTTAATCGTGAAAAAATTGATATTCTCTAAAAAGAAAAATGAAATGACGAACAAATACTTTAATCTTAGTGATCGCGAAGGTTCGTAGGGTTGGATCAAGTCTTAACGAACAAAGGTTAATCTAAGTGATCGCGAAGATTCGTAGGGTTGGATCAAGTCTTAACGAATCAAGGTCTGTTTTCCTCAATTCTTGAATAAACAATTAATACAAAACACCCTCATTAATTATCCAGGAATACTGAAAAATGTATTGTTATTATAACCTCGCGGCCATTACCACAGTTATTGTAGTTTACTAAGTAAATTTACAAAAGCCTATTAACAGGAAAAATGATTACATTAGCTTCTGTGGGCTAGAAAAAACATCATTTGTTCTAAATTATTCATTGAAAAAAAAAATAATGATGTGACATTAAAATACAAAAAGTTGTTAATTGTGTAAAGCTGTAGCACTAGTGCTAGTGTGGCAACATCATCCACAGTCTTCGACGTTGGAAACAAGACTTATCGGTCAATTTAAATCAACATTGATGCTGTTATCTTGCTGTAAAAAAGATGGGCTTCTTATATCCAATGCTTAAAGGAGTCACATCCGGTCTAATGTCCCACCGTCTGGCATAGTGTCACATAGCCGATTTAGTGTCTCGGAATACTCTTGGATAGGTGACACTGTAGTCACATCCCTCAATTTCGAGTCAACGAACAGGGGTATGTGACATAGTGGCAGAGAGAGAGAGAGAGATGGGTTTAACGTCCACTCAACATAAACTAGGTCATTTCGGGACTAACATATAGTTCTATTTTATTTCAACAATTTGCTTGAACAAATAGCAGTGGAAGGAAACCCGAGGGCCCGGAGAAAACCCACGAGGTTGGACAGGCGACACTACTCCTCGTCACGCAAAACCGGGGAACCAAAACCACGCCAGTTGACAGGTCATCCAATCCCTCTCAAAATAACAGAACAAGACAAATGAAATGAAATGGGGTTTAACGTCCTACTTTTCTGCCCAAACTGGGCTAATGACGACGGGCATATAGTTCATGAGACAGACCTCGGATTTTGGAGCATCATTACCAATTTGATGAATAAATTCAACCATGATTTTCAGTGTTGAAATTTGATTGATTGACTTCCGGGTCACTTTGCTAAATTCCGTTTTGGTGGCCATCTTTAAAAATGGCCGCCGTCATTTCATTGAAATTTGGCGCGTCAGGGAAACCTTCATAACTCCTGAACAGATTATTATGTTAGCAAGAAAATTCTACATCTGCTGCTATATGATACTTGTTGTTGAATGAATCATATATTTTCCAAATCAACAGATTATTCTGGAAAAAGCAACGTTTCGGCATTTTTTTTTCAAGAATTATTTTGTAAGTTTACTGCCAAATCATGTTCAGAGTAATTTTAGCCAAATTACGTATGTGGTCTTCTTAAGTTATTCATTTGGCATAAATAAATGCACTCAGTACAGCTGCGGCGGCCACAAACTCAACAAAATTCTTAAGTAAACTGTCAAATTTAGAATGTTGAACGTCGGGGAGGCAGGGTTCCAACTCAGTGAACATTTAGCTAGGGGTGTCACAATCGAAACGATATTTGGTGACGGGTTGTTTCTGAGGCAAAATTTGTCACTAAAGACAATTCTGAAATTATATAACTTCTGTGACGTCATTTCGGTTGAGGTTGTGTCCGATTTCGAAAATGTCCGCCAAAATTTAACGACAAATGAATTTCTAGTTATGATGGGTGAGCATCGCGCAAGGTAAGGTTTGTGATATATCATATAATAGGGTTTTCGTAGTCCATGAATTTAAAATTGATCTCTAAAAATAAAATATTTATTGGAATTTTCGATGACACTGAAAGGTTTGTTCCGCACATCAATTAGCTTAGAAGGGATAAATACAATTTGTAGAACCAGAAATTTGATGTTAGTAAACCCATTTGTTTCCAGGACACCTGTTTCACACAAAATCCTATTTTCTATCCAGACGGACCTTCAGTATAATAATCTCTCTGCATACAAAGTTTATGAAAATACACATTTAAACTGCATTTAATATGGTCTACCACCTGCAGGACTCTCCCTTCAACTTAAAAATAAATTGTTTATTGGAATTTTCGATTAAATGTAAACTTTCTTGTAGCTGTAAAATACTCGACTAATTTACCAGTTGTTAATTTGTAACACGTTTAACACCATTTTTTTCTACGCGAATTAACACTCACATCAGCTAAATCGTCCGGCAGCCAACAAGGGTTGTTGCATATTTTTAATTTACTAAAATCTGATTATCAGAAAATCATTAGAATTTGTTTGGCCCATACTAACGTTTAGTATACAAAACATTTCATATCATTGATTTAGCTGCTGAAGTTATCAAAAATCACTGAAAATCAATGCACGTGTACTTGTTCGTCTCAAGATCCAACCTAAAGTCGATTGAAACGATTATATATAGACGTAAATATATGGTGTATAAATAAAATCAATCAGATGATAACTATGGTCTCTAAAGCGTCCACAAAGATTTTTCAAAGCGATCGAGGGCAATGACTCCCGCAGTAATTATCGGAAATCGTTGAAAATCAATATGCTTCTTCGACTGATGACCATAAACACTGTGTATAAATTTCAAGTCAATCGGATATTAATTTTAGCCTCTAGTGCACCCACAATATTTTCCAAAGTGATCAAGGGCCATAACTCTGGTAGGAGTTATTGGAAATTAGTGAAAATCAATAGACCTCTTCGTCTCATAATCTTAAACACTGTGTATAAATTTAAAGTCGATCGGATATTAACTTTAGCTTCGAGAGCGTCCACAAAATATTTCAAAGTGATCAAGAGCCATAACTCTGGCAGTAATTATCGGATATCGTTGAAAATCAATAGGCTTCTTCGTCCCATGATCTTAAACACTGTATAAATCGGATATTAACTTTAGCCTTTAGAGCGCCCACAAAGATTTTTCAAAGAGATCAAGGGCCATAACTCTGGCAGTAATTATCGGATGTCGTTGAAAATCAATAGGATTTTTTGTCTCATGACTCTAAACACTATGTATAAAATTAAATTCATTCGGATTTTAACTTTAGCCTCTAGGCTTCTTCGTCTCATGACCTTAAACACTGTGTATAAATTTAAAGTCAATCAGATATTAACTTTAGCTTCTAGAGTGTACACAAGCAATTGTAGACGCCGGACCGACGGGGGCGACGACAATATACGACCACATTTCAATGTGGGCGTAAAAAACCGGCAGTTTTGAGTCCATTTTGAATTGCTACCATGTTGGGTTTTCGGAATTTATCTTTAAA